ATAATTATTTTCACCTGTCTTCCCTCCAGCCCTCACTCACACTCCTGCTGCCAATTTCCCTGATGACTCCTCCCTGTCAAGCTTGGTTTATGCTTGACGCATTCACTTTCCGCGCGGTGATGCGGCTCGCGGCTGGAACGCGCTTCACAACTCGCAGCGTTTATGGTTTGTGCGGCTCGTCTCTGCGGTGAGCCAATATTCTCCCAAACTGAACGGGGCAGCATGGAGCTCTACGGCATGCATCCAACACTACACCACAGTAGAAGTAGAAATTACTGTTTACAACATGGCATTTCAGCATTTTTAACAGCGTTCTCGTCTTTTCCGACAGTGCGAGCTATTTCTCTCCAAGAATTATTAACAACATGTTGATCACGGTGATCTCTGAGAGCTGAATCATACAAATGTCTGTATTTACGAAACCTCTGCCGTGCCGGTCCGCCATGTTTTCCGCGTCCGACCGTCCGCGTGGTTAGAAATTTTCCGAGGTGCGCGTTGCGGAAATCTTGGGCCATGCGGAGACGCGGTGGAGGGGCGTGGTTGTTAAAATGCGCAAAATGACGCAACTTTTCCGCGCGGAGCCGTGCGGACCTCGCGGACGCGTCAAGCATAAACCAACCTTTATTTAAGCCCTGTCTTGCCTCTGTCTTGGGTCGGTCCATTGTTTGTGTTATTCTGTCAGTCTTGTCTCGTTTTGGATTACCAGTGTTCTTGGTCTTCTTGGATTTTCTAGAGTTTTGGATCTCCAGATCTTTATCTGGAATTTTGGGCTACTGGCTCCCTGCCTTGGAATTATTATTTTTTTGTTTCACCTTAAAATAAAAGATTTTTCTTAATCTTCATCCCTGCCTCGTGTCATCCTGGGTAACTGCATTTTGGGTCCTACCAATATCATATCGTGACCACCACAAATGTATGAGTTTACTAAATATATGCAGAAGTTCAATGATTAATATCAATCACCTAAAAAATAAGTATAAAAAAAGTTTTGTAAACCAGTTCACAAAGTGCTTGTAATTAGCTACTACTGACTTTTTCTCAAGTGGTTTAAAGCAAAAGAGGCACCTTAACAAAGTGATTTAGCTTCAGAGTCAATAACGATTAGGAAACATGACGTAAGCTAAATGTTCTCATTTCCTCTCAGCAAGCTTTTGATTACATTAAATGAACACAAAAGGCAATATATAGCTCATGTTTCTTCCTGTTAGACTCGTGTTCCCTGTTGTTCTTGCCTTAATATGAGACAAATGCAGCTGCTCTCCCAGACTGGCAGCCAGTCACGGTGCACTTTAACCAGAAAATGTCCGTATCTACCATTAAGCTGCTTAGTTTCCTGTGCTCGTATCATTAACCAAAGCCAATTAGAAGTGGATGACCGAGAAGTGACTCTGCAGAAATCTCTCATGTGAGAGGAGAGTGCACAGTATAGACCCCATTGGTTAAAAATGTCCACAGGGACACAAGAAATTCAGGCTGTTGTCTCATGTAGAATGAGAATTCGGCTGAATGGAATAGATTTATTGACGTGGAGGCGTTCAACTGAACAATCAAATTTGTGTCAGAAATTCTCGTTGCAAAGGTCGAATGATTAGACTCTTATCCAGGTTGAATGTAAACAAGAAATATTTAAGAAAAAAGTTTTAATTGCTAAAAATTGGATTCTACAATTAAATGACTTGCAGGCAATAAAAAAACTTTTCAAATGAAACAATTAAAAAAGAAATTATGTTCAGCAAATGATCTTTCACAGAAACACTGGGTAAAGAAAATATCTGATAAACATTTAACTCATTCTGCAACATTTTCTACTGATGTTTGTAGCTTTGAACAGCTGGTTTTGCTGCTGCACATATCTATTGGAGTTTTGGCATCTGTCAACTTAATCTTTTAACTGGGACTTTTCTTAGAAACAGGGTAAAAAAGAAACAAATAATCAATACGTGTTACTTAGTTAAATTATAATCAATAATCTGTACTTTGAAACACGTGCATCTCATTATTTTTGCAAGTACTAAATACCTGTGATAGCATCTGGTTTCCATCTGTCTTCTGATTGAACGTCTCCCTCCTTTGCAGCTCTGCAAGCGGTCCCTTTCTGTCTCCTGGTCCTGAGTGAGCAGATTTGAAGTAGCTGTCAGCAAACCAGGTGAAAGTCTGGCAGGTTGGTAACTAGTTCAAACGTCTGGACTTTGTAATTGGACACATTGTGTGACAGCTCTTAATCTTTGCACCAGTTACATTTACTGCTTGTGATACAATTTCTGCAGGAAAAAAGTCTCAATAAAAGCTCCAGACAGCATTTATTGTCCTTTTCTTGCAGAATGTTGATTATGTCCAGTATGATCTTTAAGGTGCATGACAGAAAGTGTTTATTCTGAGGTTTCTTGTTAATAGATTTTCACCCTCAAATCCTAAAACACACAGTGAGTAATAAGTGTTGTTGAGGGATTTTCATGCGTTGGCACTCCTATTTCTAAACTACAAATCCCGTCTTTCATTGATCCTTCATGTGTTTACTGCATGCTGACCCAGATAAATCATGCATAAAAATGTTTGTGCGTGCCCGGGCTTGATGTCTAAAACAAACGCGGTGAAACTAGAGGCGCACATCCCCATTAAGCCCGGGTAAATAAATTCACATTTTCCATTACGAAGACCAGTTAAAGGCTTAACGACCTTTTCTGCTTACTTCTGGAAAACCGCCAGGTGTGAGGATAAAAACAAACACGTCTTTGAGAGCAACCTGTTGCTTATGCGAGTCCTCACTTGTTTTTTTTGGATTTGCTTTAATTTAACATTGTAACTTGCAGCTTTACCTTTGGTGTCCCTGACTTTTAATGTGTTGTGCAATAACGAAACACTCGTTTTGTTTATTCCAAGCACACCGGTGTTGGTGCTTTAAACAAACAAGAGATGGCTCACTTTCTAAAAGCTGAAGCTTTTCAAGTGGACGCTGTTTGTAAATCTGGCGTTTCTGAAGCCTTGCCTTGCTGCCTCACGTGCTCACTTAAGGCCACAGATAACAGAACAAAGTGACACACTGATGGATAGTGACGTTTGATGCTGGTCAGATTAAACCGGCCTAATTTCACTGTGTTCCAAGGTGATAAAATCCTTCGGGAAGGTTGAAGTACGTCAGATGGGCAGGCTGTCTTCTCAGAGGTCAGGGGTCAACCCCTATGGGGCTCTCTGATCTAAAATGCTTCATAATAGCATTATGAAGCATTTTTTGCGGCATTGATTTTTTTTTCTCAAACAACTATGTACATGCTATATCTGTGCACATGCATCCAATTGATTTGTTTCAAAAACCTCAGCAGTTTTTAGACAAAATTGCATAAAGAAACATTTTTAAATGTAACATTTTAGTTTGCTCTCTTCAACTTTTTCCTTTAAAATTCACTTGATGCAAATGATTTAGCTTGTGTCATTATCACCCATCCGTCCATTATGGTCTGCTTATCTGGGGTGAGGTTGCGGGGGCAGCAGTTTAAGCAGAGAGGCCCAGACTTCCCTTTCCCCAGCCAATTGGGCCAGCTCCTCTGGGGGAATCCTAAGGCGTTCCCTGGCCAGCCGAGAGACATAGTCCCTCCAGCGTGTCCTGGTTCTTTCTTTAGGTTTCGTCCCAGTTGGACGTGCCTTAAATACCTCACTAGGAAGGCATCCGGGAAGCATCCTAATCAGATGCCTGAGCCACCTCAGCTGGCTCCTCTTGATGTGGAGGAGCAGCAGATCTACTCCGAGCCCCTCCCAGATGACCGAGCTTCTCACTCTATCTCTCAGAAAGAGCCCAGACACCCTGTGGACCTTGTATCTGTGATCTCGTTCTTTCGGTCACTACCCAAAGCTTGTGAACATAGTTGAGGGTAGGAATGTAGATCAACTGAGAAATCGAGAGCTTCACCTTCCGGCTCAGCTCTTTCTTCAACACGGCAGACCAGTACACCCACAGTGCTGCAGACGCAACACCAATCCGCCTATCGTTCTCACGCTCCATCTTTCCCTCACTCGTGAACAAGACCCTGAGACATTTGAGGCAGGACCTCCTCCCTGACCTGAAGGCATTCTACCCTTTTACGATTCTCATTATCACATTGTACTGATATCAGTGTGTTGATGATGATTTTGGTGCATATTTATAATTTTCTTCTCTCCACAGATTTGTCTGTTTTCTTTTAATTCCACTGAGAGTCACCCCTTTCAAAATGGGGTGATTGTGGACTTTCCTTATCCTGCTAATCAACCTGAAACAAGCCCGGGACAGAGCTCCTTCTGATGTCTGAGGGTTCAGACTCCAAGCTCTATCGCTTCCCAGTGCTAGAGGACCGAGATGGACCTTTGGGATGCAGACCATCTACTTCGAGCAGTTCCCTCTCATGCGGCGCCTCGGGCTGCAGCTCAATGGCACAGCTGCACTGGGTGGGAGGCTTCAGCCAAAGTAGACCTGAACTGGGCCTGCCTTCAGAGGGCAGCGACAGCAGCAGTCAGGGCCCCACCGTCTCGCTACACAGCATTCGCAAGAACGGACGCTCTCGCTTGCATCCTGATGAGGATGTGGAGATGAAGAGCAGTGGATCAAGTGGGAGTGGGACCGAATCGCACGGCAATGAAAGCAACGGAAATGAGAGTCATGGGAACGAGAGCCACAGCCACGAGTCAGTGGGCAGCTCCAATGGCAACAGCAAGGATTCAGCACTACTGGAGTCCTCTGAAAGCATTAAAAGGTCAGTGATTGTTGGGAAAAGAAAGCCATTAGCAGCTGTGAAAGAGAAAAGCAAGAGAGGAACACGGTTTCTGATCCTTTTACTTGCGGAACACCTCCTGTTTTGTGAAACACAAACTGAGCCTTTTTAAAGTAAATTAAAATGCAAATTCACTCATTAAAATCATATTTTTTTATTTACATGGAACCAATACACAACAAAAGGGAACTAGTTCAAATATAACTACCCACAATTCAATTTACTGTAATCATAGCTGAACTAATTTCCATATAAGTCAATAGTTTAAGTATAACGGCGTTTAAAGGTGCATGAAGTAAGAAATACATCCTGTGGTCAAATTTGGGTACTGCAGTTTATGCATCAAAACGAACAAGTCCACTCTCAGCAACCCCGCCGTCCTCCAGTTTGTGAGTTTTGTGGCTGTTGCCAGTTGGGGATCAGTGCCAGAAGATTCTAGATGAGGAGCAAATCTGAGTAGTTAATAACTACATTTCACTGTAATAATGAGTTGTTGGTAATTGAAAAGGTACCTTGATGAATTTTGTTGCTAACTCACATTGTTAGCTCGACATTAGCTCAACATTATCCTCTAGCCTTCTTTATCCAACATTAGAGTAACACAAAAAGATGCCGAGGCTTTATAGGTTGCCAGAAATAACTTCCGCTGCTCCTGTTACTGACTTCTGGTCTGTCCACAACTCTGGAGCTTTTGGCCTGCTGGTGCAGACTTATGTGCAGCAGTGTTTGCCTGTGCTGATTTGGGAACCCAGCCTGCTCACATATGATTGGCTCTGAAACCAGGAAGTATGGAACAGATTGTAAACAAAGAATACGTCCCTCTTCGGCCTTTTTAAAATGAGAAAAACTGGCAACCCCCCAGCCAGCTGGTCAGGAAATCTGTTTCAATGTAATCTTCCTTCCGATATGATTGAGACATTAGACTGTTTGGTGAATTTTTTTAATTACTTATTGCACCTTTAAAATGTATACAATTAGACTTTTTTAGTTTAGAAAGCCAACAGATAGCATTAATTATTCACTTTGACTCAGCAGGTGGCTGAATACCCAAACTCTCCTGAACCCAAATCTTCTAAAATTGGAGGTTTGAACATTTCTGTTAAAAAAAACTGTTTACTTCAAAGATGGGAACCATTTTTTTTTTGCAAGCAGCAGAAGGAACTTTATTGGTGGTGCACGTAAAGTAGGTTTGTTGAATTATCCACACAGTTGTTCAACCTTTGACTAGGGCACTCATTGACTATGCAGTGACTAAAGCACCAAGCTGTTTAAAGCTACACACCAGCTGTAGGTCAGCTAAACAGCAGCCCTGGATTACAAATTGGAACCATGCATCAATATATTCAGTCCAGTTTCTGTTTAATAAAAACGTTGGTGTTTCCATCGTTATTAGGTCATGATAAATGTAGCTATGAGGACCGGATGTGTTTGTGGGTGCTGACTAATGCTTGCAGATGGGTGAGCTACATCGTCAGCGATGGCCTGGATGTGCATCTGAAATAAATAATGAGCCTATGACTCTTTCAACACAAGTCTCCACATACACAAATCTAAAATTCGAGTTAAGAAAATGTCACAATTTTGAAAAATGTAATTTCATTAAAAATTGCAATACATAGAGATGTGCCTTTTGTCTTTCATTGGGCATAAACTCCAGCACTCTAAAGTTATTGAAGTCTATGAAGCTTTTTATCTAAAGAGCTCTTGCCACTCAGATCATGTCTTAGTTACAGTTAAAGGACTTTAGGATGAAACTCCACCTTCACTGTGTTCATAAGTGGGTTGACACACTGTGCAGCCTGCCCTGAAAACAGCCAGACTTCAATTGATGTCATCAAGGAGGCTGGATCCTGGCTTCACCTCAATGCCAGATGGGTTGTGTGTCATGCTCTCCAGACCGTTGTTACTGGGGAAACACACTGTTTGTGTCTGTTTATCTCTGAGTGGAGCAACCCAGTTGCATGCTCTGACGTCCTTGCCCTCACCCTCGGCCATGCTTTGCTTACGCCACTCGGTCTTTGGGATCTAGGCCTTTTTTATTTTTTAACCACTCCTTCTTAATGTTGGACCATGATTCACCGCTTCAGCATAATAATTTTTACCACTAGCATTTCCCTTATTGATCTTTTAAAACTAACTTTGTTTTTCTCAATCACCAACCCTCTCTTAGTTCCCTTTAGCTTAATTCCTACTTTTCTCTTTTAATTCTCCTCCTGATATAAGTCGCTAAATGACTCCCACTACTTGATTTATAGCTGGGTGACTTTAGACTAATGTATGCTTGCAGGATAAAGTAATTTTGCACAAGGGTGTCTGATAAACTGGTAAATATCATTGCACTGGCTTGTGAACTACACAAATGGAGCACTTAAATTGAAGTGAATGCACCTTTCTTGCATTAGCTTCTGATAGAAACTAAATGGTGAAACTCTGGGATTTGAAAAGCCTGTCAGATCTACATCACACTGTCATGGACTCACTCATCTTGACTTGCGGTGGGGAAGGCTGTTGTTGGTCAAGTGTCTAGGAAACAGCAGAGAACGTCTCGGCTGGTAGAAGCTAACCGTTAGCATTAGCAACTCCACCACATGGCAGAACTCCTTCAGGCTTGTGTTGTCTGTGGCGATAAAACATCCACATTGCAGAGCAAACTGAGTCAGTGGTAGAGTTGTGTTGCTGTTGGCCAATCAGAGACGAGATGTCCAAATATCAGGAAATAAGACCCCAAAGCCTTTCATCTGAAGCTTCTTTCTCCTCCAGGTGAATTCTCCAAGCTGAAACAGGTGCACCTGAGGGTTTTTTCCCCCAGACTACAACTTAAAAGGCACTTATTCCTACTAGAGACCACTGCAAATGTATTAGAAACATGAGTGAACTAAGTGGTGTAACTAAGTGAAGATTAAAGAATTTTTTAAACTATCTTGATAGAAATGGTTTTCATTAGACATTATTTTCATAAACTTCTAGGCATTTTGACCAAAAATAACCTGGATAACAAAGATTTTTAGATTTTTATACTGATGTTCCAGTTTAATCCATCCATCCATTTTCCAGTTTAATTGTGGATAATTTTATGTCTGAACAGAACTGGTGCACACAAAAATTACACTGGTCCCTGCCTGAGCAGCCTTGTTTTGTTTGTGACACATTTATCCTGCATTCACATTCATCACAGCGGAGAGGAAACATCCATGGAAACGCAACGGAAAAACCCAATTGAAGCTTGTCTTCCCTTTATTTATAAGCAGATGGTCTGTTGTGTCATTCATCTGCTTTAAACACAAAAAGCAGCTCAAAGACGAAGTCCCACTTGGTTGCTGGTTTCAAATCAGACGGGACTGATCTGATCTACTTTGGCTAAACTCAAACAGAACCAGCCCGTTTGGGCACCCTCTTTATGTAACTTGTTTCCATGACTTACAGACTTCCTGCTGCCGTTTGAATTAGCCTAGTGCCCACTAACATCAGTTTAGTCTGTCTAGTCCAAAGCCAGCTGCTGAACTGTGCAGGGTAGGAGTCTATTTGTAACAGATTTAGAGGCTACTTGTGAGGATGTTCTCTATTCTTAGCAGCTAAGCAGGTTAATTATAGTAGCTTGAGTTGTAGCGTAGCTGAATTAGCTGCACAGACTGCAGCTGTTAATAGCCTCTTGTTAAGTCTGTCTGCTAAAAGTGTAAGGTGAGTTTTATTTTAGAGCAGGTAAGCCTGTTAGGCACAATAAGCTGTGTTAAAGTGAGTCAGTATTTCTGAACGCTAATGATTTTAGTGTTTAGATCATACTCTTACATGCACTAATCCAGCACACACACACACACACACACACACACACACACACACACACACACACACACACACACACACACACACACACAGTGAAGATAAATCTGACTGTGTAATGGGCTTTCCTGCAACTTCCATGAGATTTCAATCATTCTCAACAGATGGAAGTTGCACAGTCTGACACTAATGTATGTGCATTAGGTAATGTGAGTTGTTGTCATGGTGTTGGGTGTGATGAATGATAACTTTATGATGATATCTAAACACACTGACCGAAGCTTGTTAGATGTAGTGTCAAATGTTATATGAGTTATGGTCACAAAACCATTTATTCTAGCAGACAGCATATGTAAAAATGATTAATATTTTCTTTTGTATGTTCTTTAAGCACCATTTGTTAGATCAAATTATATATATATATATATATATATATATATATATATATATATATATATATATATATATATATATATATATAAGGATACCATAGCTGGAGTCTTCCTAGAGGTCAGGACAAACGGTCAAGTAGCTGCTAACATGTTTTCTAAATTAGAGCATCAAGAAGAGCTGTAGCTGCTGCTGGGTTGACCCCTCACTGCTGCTTCCTTTACGTGTTCCTGCTGGGCTGTCTTTGATCTGGGCTCTCAATGTGGTCCTTTTAAGAGGGTGAGAGGGACTCCAAGTTGAGAGTGTGGTTTCTTTTGTTACTCAGCTGCTAAATAAGACGTGAAGCTCTAAACACACTGGTGCACTGGGACATAAATAAAACAGCAGATGTATTTTTAGGTGTACTTAATGGCACTCCAAAGTAAGAGTGTGCACCCTTTTTTAAACAATATCTTTAACATCTCAGGTGTGTATAAAACATGGGAAATGTTTTTTTTCTTCTTTTATCTCATATATTTCCTATTCTACACTCAATTTAATTTGGTCTGAACGGCTTCTAAATGAGGATATTTTAACCAAAGCCATTAAAAAATCTCCTCTCTGTTTTTGTTGTAATTTTAATAAATGTTTGATGTTTTTCCACCTCATTCCTTTTCATTTTTAATCCTTTTCACAGTTCAAACTCTCACAGCCCATCTCCACCTAGTAGCTCAAACGCCTACAGCCTGCTGAGCTCAGAGCAGGACAACCCTTCAACCAGCGGCTGCAGGTCAGTGAATAGACTGGTACCACTAGGACAGCAGGGAAAATCACTGTTTTTCTATCACAACTGACTCTTGACTGTTAACGTGTTCAACATGCAGCAGCGATGAATCTGCAAAGGCCAAGAACCAGAAGGAGGTGATTAAAACGCTGAAGGAGCTGAAGCTGCACGTGCCCGCCGACAAAAAACACAACAGCAAGTCGACCACACTGAACACGCTGAAGTACGCTCTTCGCTGTGTGAAGCAGGTGGAAGGTTTGTAGCCCTTACAGAGTCTAACACTAGTCCTTTTCTTCATTTTCATCTGTTTATTTCATTCATTTGTGCTTTTTAAGTCAATATTTTATCCATAAGGTTCTGTTCAACTCACATTGATCAATCTATAAAGCCATAATGTCTGCAGTTTTGAATGCAGTTGGTGCTGCACCCCAGAAAAAGAAATGCACATAAATCTGAGCGCGAGAAATCTTTGTAAAACATTTAATTAAACTCTTGTAAATGTGTGCAGATGTAAGTGGGTGGGACAGCGCCATGTGGTTTTAAAGGATTTCCTTTTAATCCAAAATGTTATTGATGTCAGTATGATGGATCATATTTTATATAAAATCATTACTTAGTGATTTATTTTTAAATATCACACTGATCACATTTGTTTCTATGCTATATATTGACCTAAATCAGACCAAATGTCATGCATTTTGCAGCCAATGAGGAGTATTACCAGCTGCTGATGATCAATGACAGTCAGCCCTCGGGTCTGGATGTTTCTTCTTACACCATCGAAGAGATCGATAGCATCACATCTGAATACACCCTCAAAAACAACGTGAGATCAAGTTTTTAAACAAATAAATAACTGACCTTCAGCAGGTGAATGCAAAATATTCCATTCATGAATAATTTGAAATGTGTGTCACCACTAGGATATTTTTGCTGTAGCCGTGTCTCTGATCTCTGGGAGAATAGTCTACATTTCTGACCAAGCTGCCTCCATCCTCAACTGCAAGAGGGACGTGTTCCAGGACTCCAAGTTTGTGGAGTTTCTGACACCGCAGGACATCAGCGTGTTCTACAGCTTCACTACGCCGTACCGTCTGCCCTCATGGAGCATGTGCGCCGGAGCAGGTAAACTGTCACTCGTTATTTTTATTCTCTTCACAAGCCTCAGCATCTACTTAAAGCGCTAACTTGTCACTAACGTTTGTTTTTCTCTTAGCAAATATCTCATCAACCAGTAGGTTGATTTCATTGAAACGTTTAGTAAGAAAACACACAAAAAAAAAGATCAAAATCTGCCGTTTTTATTTAAGTTTTCGTACAACACTTCCGATCCGAGACATAATAAGTAAGACTTTGTAAAAAACGGCTGTAACTCTATCATTTCTCATCCTAAGATGATATCAGTTTTAAACCCTGGCATGAGAGCTGGTGAGTGATTTGCTCTGCTGGGCCAGAGGTCCTTTATTAAGAAACTATTTTCACCTATTTTTTATTAGATTCAGTCACTCTGAGTTTTTCATGCAGGCTGAACCTGAAAAAAGTCTCCTACACCTATCTCCTGCATTCGTTTCTGATAGAAAATAGACGGCGAAACTTGAAGATTTGAAAATCCTCACATATTTATGTCACACTGTCATTTAACATTCATGATCTCGCTTATCTTGACGTGCAATGGGGAAGGTCCTTCACTCATATTTGTAGTACATTTGCAATAGTCTCTGGTAGGAATGAATGCCTTGTAAGTCACACTCAGGGGGAAAAAAGCCCGGATGCGTCTGTTTCAGCATGGAGAAAGCTACTTTGGATTTGGAGTTTTATTTTCTGACATCTGGACTGATTTGGCTAGCAGCAACACAACTCTACCACAGACTGTTTGCTCTGCAACATGGATGCTTTATCTCCACAAATACCTCAAGTCTGGAGGAGTTCTGTTTCATGGTGGAGTTGCTAATGCTAACGGTTAGCTTCCACCAGCCGAGACGTTCTCTGCTGTTTTCTGGATGCTAAATCAACAACAGCCTTCCTAGTTATGAGTCAAGATGGGTGAGTCCATGAAGGTTTAGTGACAGCATGACATGGATCTGTCAGGCTTTTCAAATCCAAACGTTTCATCATCTATTTTCTATCAGAAGCTAATGCAGGAGATAGGTGTAGGAGACTATTTTCACGTTCAGCCTTCATGTTAAACTCAGAGTGATCGATAATTTTCAAAAATAATAAGTAAAAATAGTTTGTCGGCGAAGAACCTCTTTCATGAGAGCGTTACCATTTCTTTGCTGATTTGTCCTTTTTGGGAATTGTGTGTTTATGGTTAAGTTTAAAAATGAAATCTGAACTGTTTAAACAGCCTGCAGAAGATCCTGATTTCCGTTTGTTTGGATCGTTTAGTTTGAAGTAAAACACTTCTCTCCCTGTTTCAGAGTGCTCTCCCTCCGACTGCATGCAAGAGAAGTCCTTCTTCTGTCGTATCGGGTGAGTTGCTTCATACCCAACATCAGGCCATCTGCTGCTCGGGGCTGTTTTAGTCTATATTCATCTTTTCATTCTAATTTAGTGTTTTTTTTATATATAAATTTGTGACGTCATATGCGTAAAAGCAGCAATTAGATGCTTTTTCCGGTCAGTGTTTACATTCATAGAAACACATGCATGCAAACTAAAAGGTGCTTCGCTGATTTAATCTTCTTTCCATAATGTGACTCCATGATTTATTACTTTCTTTGGTTTTTCCTTTGAGCTAAAGAAGCTAAATGCTGCCCCCATTTGTTCAGTTTTAAAACCAGAATCCAGGAGCTGGGAGATTATTGGTACACTCTAATAAAACATGTTTGGTTTGTTTTTCGCTTCTATTTTCAGTGGTGGTAAGGAGTGTGAGGGTGAGCTACGGTACTATCCCTTCCGTATGACACCTTACCTGATGAAGGTCCAGGACTCGGTTCATGCTGAAGACCAGTTCTGCTGCCTCCTCCTGGCTGAGAAGGTTCACTCTGGATATGATGGTAAGAACTGCAGGTTTCAGATGACAGCTCATTAACTCAGTTAATAATGGGGGGGGGTTAGTTAATGGTAAATTATTATTCTTCAGCAATGATTTTAACAAGTCATAGTATATTTGAATGAAATATTTCACCCAGCTCCCAGAATTCCAACGGACAAGCGTGTTTTCACCACCACACACACTCCAGGGTGCGTGTTTCAGGATGTGGATGAAAGGTAAAGTATTCTGAAATCTTTCATCCCTTCATTTGTAACTCTGTCAGGTCATCATGTGTTGTGTTTCTGGGTCAGGGCTGTTCCTCTCCTCGGATACCTCCCGCAGGACCTGATCGGTACCCCGGTCCTTCTTCGCCTACATCCCAGCGACCGCCAGATTATGTTGGCCATTCACAGAAAGAGTGAGTCCGTTGGGTCAGCTCAAGGATCCATGTTCTGGTTAAGAGTTTGTCTGATTTCTGTTATTTGGATTGTTTCTATGCAGTCCTTCAGTGCGCTGGGCAACCGTTTGACCACTCATCGATCCGCTTCTGTGCACAAAACGGAGAGTATGTCATCCTTGACACCAGCTGGTCCAGTTTTGTGAATCCCTGGAGCAGAAAGGTCTCCTTTGTTATCGGCAGGCACAAAGTCCGTATGTGAGTATTACTCATGAAATGTCTCAGACTGCACACACACACACACACACACACACACACACACACACACACACACACACACACACACACACACACACACACACACACACACACACACACACACACACACAGAGAGGTCTTGGACAGTCGTCTACCAGCTCCAAAACCATAAAAAATCACTTTCCTCTGCATGAAATAAAGTGCATGAACGTTGTTGCTTGTCTTCCAGGGGCCCGATGAATGAAGACATCTTCATGCCCCCTGTCTTGTCTGTGGGCCGAATGAAGACCATGGACCCCGACATCCAGGAGATATCTGAGCAGATTCATCGACTCCTGCTACAGGTGAGATAGCAATAAATAGAGATGACCTCAACTAAAACTGCTTCTTTAATCATTAAAGAGATTCAGGTGACACACAACTTCTAGAGCAACCCAAAATATCGAGTGAAATGAATCTGAGAGGCAAAGGAGCAAATCTAAAACTTGTGAGCTTTGAATTTGTTCTCTCTCTTCTATCTAATCAGCCGGTTCATAACAGCGGGTCTAGTGGCTACAGTAGTCTGAACAGCAATGACCATCTTCAGGGGATGACTTCATCCAGTGAGAGCCTGAACAACGGCAACGGGAGCAGCATGCATCAGGAAGGAGAATCAAAGGGCAAAAGTAGACCTGTGAGTAAACAGAAATGTTCACAGCGCACATAAAATACATTTAAAACTAAATGTTTGAAATATTTTAACTTTTTTATCAATTTAGATTGATTTGCCTTTAAATTTTTAGTTTGAGAGTGTCCTGTCTTTTTCTTCAAAGCGCACTTTTCATGAAATCTGTAAGGGAATCCATCTTCAGAAGTGCCAAGAGCAGCAGAGCCACAGATCAGAACACAAAAAAAGCAGCGGAAGTAAGTTTTGTATTTGCGTGTTTTAGAATAATCTCGTTTCAGTGACATTTCCTCTCCCAACTCTGATCTTTTTTTTTCCAGTTGAGTCAGTGCAGAACAGCCAAGCAGTGGTCCGACCCAAAGACTCCAGCCACGTCTCGAACTGGAAGGAGGCTTCTGTGGAGGAGAGTAGAGCTACTTCTCAAGAGGAGCTGAGCCTTAATGATCAGACTGTTTACTCCTACCAGCAAATCAGCTGCCTGGACAGCGTGATCAGGTACAGAAACACGGTAGCCAAAGGTTTCAGGCAAGGCATCTTTATTTATGAAGCACATTTTACACACAGAATCAATTCAGTGTGTTTTCCAGGATTAAGAACAGCAAACATAAAACATTAAAATCGATGTAACAACATAAAACAGCAGATTTTAAAATCAAATTTAAAAACATACAAATAAAATTAAATATAAGAATAAGATAAAATGGTGAAGTTAAAGGCTGAGCAGTTACAGCGCAGAAGGTGAAACATAAGAAACTTTCATTCGTAGCTTGATGAATAATTCAATTTTCATTGAAACGTTACTAGAGTCGGAGCACATTTGAGGTCATGAGGAAGCTGAGTCTATCTGTGTGCAGCATAGTAGCTAAAAGTAGCTTCACCCTGGATGGTTCTGACCCGGGTTCTACCAGCTGACTGTTTCCTAAGGATCTCAGAGTCCTGCTGAGTGTATATACTGCAAGGAAATCCAACATATATCTTGACCCCATGCCATTAAGTGATTTATAAACTAGTAGAAGCACTTTGAAATCGATTCTGTAGTTTACTGGTAACCAGTGTAAAGACTTAAGAACAGGAGTGATGTGCTCGGTCCTCATGGTTCTTGTTAAGACTCTAGCAGCAGCATTCTGAATAAGCTGCAGTTTACAGTCTTTTTGGGAAGACCAGTTAAAAGGCCATTGCAATAGTCCAGCCTGCTGGAGATGAACACATGAATGAGTTTCTCCAGAATGAGTCTGGACATGAGACCTCTGAGTCATGTTATTTAATGAAGATGATAAAAGGCTGATCTAGTTATAGTCTTAATGTGACCAGTAAAGCTCAAGTCTGAATCAGTTATGACACCAAGATTTCGGTTTCTCCGTGCTTATTCGTTACAATACAGTATTTAAGAAAACTGTGAAATTAACGTGATTTTTTTTCAAATGAAACTTTTCTGCAACACAAACTCCACGTGAAAAGATTTCCAGGCACCAAAATAAAATGTTTTAATCTTACAATTAATAATCTGTGTAATGATTGCAATTGTTATTAAAGAAATTCACCTCTGGGTTATGATTGGCTCCTGCAGGTATTTGGACAGCTACAATGTTCCACTCGTCATGAAGAGGAAATGCCTTTCCTCCTCCAACACCACGTCCTCTAACTCTGATGAGGACAAACAGAAAACCTCCCACAGTGTTATGGCCTCTGAAGGTAGGAGCCGCTGCCGTTTACCAGAACAACATGGGGATGCTGTTATTTCCTCAAATCTACAGACTTTTAAGGCTTTCACAGTCTCCTCTTTGAACTTCACTCTTAGCTTTAGAAATGTTCCTTTTGAGCAGCTCTTGTTCTCTGTTCTCTTTGGCAGAACCAGCCTTATTGAAGGGTCAGTCTGGGCTCTCTGCTTTGGATGATCCTGACAGAAAGTCCACGGTGGTAGTGGGCACTTCAATGCCCCTACCTGTTCCAAACAAGCCAGAAAGTGTGGTGTCCATCACCAGCCAGTGTAGCTACAGTAGCACTATAGTGCATGTTGGGGACAAGAAACCTCAACCAGAGTCAGGTACAGTGGTGTGAAAAATACTGGATCTCACTATTGTTTCATATTTTTTATACTGAGCCGTCAGTGGCAAACAAATAAAACGAACAGCTTTTACTCAATTTAAAATCCGTTATTCGCTGACATCAGTTCAGTTTAATATTTGTGACAATTTTTTTTATATTTTAGAGTCAAAATAAGTGTGAAAAATATCAAACAATGTCAGTAATTGTAAAAGGGGAAATGGTTTCTCACAGCACTGTAATTTTTATGTTCATGTGTGTTTCTGCAGCTTTATGTTTGTATATTTGTTCGCTTTGCTAATGCCTTTCTCCCCTATTCTCCATGTGCAGCTATACAGAACCAACATGCCTTTATTGCTTCAGGTTTTGTCTTCCTAAGACTCATAGCTCATGTTCTCATTTCATTCATCAGATATTTTCACAGGCAATAAAAACCGGCTCTTAAGTCCTGATGTCAGTCAGATCATCACAGCCTTTTAAACATCTAATGAGTATTTTATTCGCACAGCATCATGGACTTCATTCAAAATTTTGTTGAGTTTAGGATCAACTGGAAGAAATCGCAAAAGAATTTGGACTTGAAAGTGTGGATTTGAAGATATGCAAAACTTACATTTTGCATTCTTTTGTGCTGCAGTGGTGGTCTCTACTGCATCTGTCAACACTCCAAACATGAAAAAAATTCATTCATCTGTTTTCTGTTCGTAATTAAGTCCTAAAAGAAGCAGAAGTCCCTGCTTGTGATGTCACAAATGGGGAAATTAGCATAGGACCTCCTCTCATGTGAGAGCTCTCAAGAGAGAGATGCTTCTGGAGGAGCCGCAGCCCCACTCTGATCCCCTACCGGATGCTGGAGCTTCTGAGCTTATAGCAGCCTGAGTGCTGGCTGGGTGGGCGTGGCCAAATGTAGCTTGTTTTCTTAAATTGACAGAGCTCTGAAATGGCTCATTCTGGAGGGTACAGAAACTGGCAAGAATAAAATAGCTGAAATTGCTTAAAGGGACTTTACGGAGTTTTGAATTTTCATGCTCGCGATTGCCCCCTCAGGCCAAAAGCGTAACGGCCAGTTCAATAGTAGGCTCGTGCACGAGGCGCACATGCTGTACGTGCACACTCCTTAACGAAAATAACAGCTGAGACAGTCCCTTGTGTGTGTGTGTGTGTGTGTGTGTGTGTGTGTGTGTGGTGGTGGGAGGGGGGGGGGGGGGCGGAGGACAGGACAACGCGCAGCTAATTAATTAAATAATTTGGTTCTGTACCTTTCTCTTCAGCACAGCCGACAAAGGTTTAAGATGGGTCAGTCCTCCTTCATGCTCAGATCATTCCCTTCCCTTGCTTGAAAAATTGTTCCAAAACGAAAGTTGAACCCACATCTTTTTTATCTGTGAATTAAATGCCGTTCGGCGAGTCTCAAATAAAAATTTGGGCATCTTACTGTAAAAAAGTATACCATTAATTTCAAAAAGAAACTACATAAACTAAGCTCACATTCAGAATCAAACCCGGGTCTTCTGCATGAGAGTCAGACATCTTACAAGCTGAGCTACACACCAGTGACATTAACAGCATCTGTAACTTTTATATCCTTATACACAACGTCAAACCAAAGAACGGTTCGGAGCGAAAATGGCTATTTTGTTGCTAATTTGCAGGAAATATCTAGAAGAAAGTAGCTAAGGGTCCTCAGAAATGTAGCTAGGTTCATCACTAGGCGTTAGGAACAGCGACAAATTCGCTGAGTTGGCACTACCTCACTCTCTGCTGCTAAAGCTACGGATAGCAAATGCTACGGGCTATGCCTGAGCGTGAACGCGCATGAAGCAGCTCTCTTTTTCTGTGATTTTACAGAAAAACAGGCAATCACAGTAAAAATGCCAGGGCTCATTCTACAGGACCAGGGCATTGCAGGAGAATGTATGAAGAAGACATTTATTATTTCTATACACGTTTTGGCTTTCACTCTTCCATAATGCCCCTTTAATGTGAGTGGTATTTTGTGCAGAAAACTTGGTGAATATGTTTTCTATCGACCTGAGAAATATTATAACTTAAGAAAAAAATCTGAATATGTCCCCTTTAAATTTTACATGGTGTGAGCACAAAAACCTATATTCACTGGGAAATACAACACCAGTAGCATCCTTTTCTTTCTGATCAATTATCATTAGGGTTAACCTTCTGCCGCTTATGTGTGACATATTTAGCTCATTTGTTTTGTGCTGATTCATGTGCTTTACTTGCAATTTGTCCTTAAAATACACGTAATGTGGTCATTTGTTGCATTTGATGTGAGCGTCTGTTTGGTGACTGGTCTGGTGAATATGGAGCCAGTGCGTGCTCTGTTGCACGCCCATGGACGTAATTTTGGGGGGGGACAGGGGGGACATGTCCCCCCCACTTTTTCCAAAGTCAAGTTTTGACCCCTGCACTTTTTACCATCCAAAAACAATATTACGCTATGTTAAATTGACACTGGTTGAGCTCTAGGACCAAGCAGAAAACAACCGTTTGTGTTGAAGCCTGTTTCCCATTAGAGCATACTGTAAAGATACACCCCGTCCCCCCCACTTCTAAAGTGAAAATTACGTCCATGTGCACGCCTCTGCATTGCTTAGCTTGTTATCACTTCAAGCATTTATATGAACACGGTACTCTAATGTTTTATTTCACTCTGATTTGTGCAGAGATCACAGAAGACGTGCCCGGAGCAGTAGAGGCAGCAGAAACCAGCCACAACCTTCACTATACGATTCCGGCTCCCAGTCCGGAGAGGGAGCCCTACAAGGAGCTGGGTTTAACGAAGGAAGTTCTGGCAGCTCACACTCAGAAGGAGGAGCAGGCCTTCTTGTACCGCATCCGAGAGCTTCGTGGACTCGCTGCCTTCCAAGCAAACTGCTCTCAGTCTCTGGAGCATCAGAGGGTTGAGACCGACGCTGATGGTGCATGTAAACACAAACACTACACAGTCACCATGTTTACATGTATCACTATAATTACTGCCTTTCACAGCCTCAAGCTCTGTTTCTATCTTCATTCCTCAGATGTAAATGACTTTTACTCCAATTTAATCAAATAGCTCCTTTAGAAAGTTTTTTATTTTTATTTTTTATTTTATTTATTTTTTTACCTGCAATAATAAGCAGCTCTTTTAGAAAAGAAAATCACACATAAACATTTGGGGTGGTAATTTTACATAATATTTACGATGAATTAGAAAAAATAACGCGTTAGAAATGGACTCCTTTGAGCCCGAGCATCCAATTGGGGCCTGAAAAGGTTTAGCATCCCAATTTATGCCCTCTATGTCAATAAAGCATTTAAAGCTTTTTTTGTGCTCCAAAGACAACTACAACAACGATTAAATGAATCATGACAAATCGCTCTTCGTGAAGAAAAGAAATAAATTTTACTTTTTTACTGTTATGCTTTGTTGATGGTAAACAGCAGACAGGCAGTAACTTTATCCATATGAACTTTATTACAGCAGGAGGGACAGGCATACACGCAGCATTCATCTTGTAACCCTCAGCAGAACTTCCTCTGAACTCTACACTACACCTCTATATATGTTAGCAGTGCTCTGCTGCCACCTAGTGTTCCCATTACACAACATTTACAATGTTGCTTGTCCATTTACACTTCTTCAAAAATACATCTACTAATATTTATGCATCCCAGAAAATCCCACACTGGTTACCTTTATAATGAGACCAAAGTGATAGGCCTCGTGGTTACAGATATGTCCTTGTTAGTGTGGCTATGTCACCAGTGCCTCACTAACATTATTTTTGATTATTTGGGTGCAAATTGTCTTGAATTATTAAAATGTGATTAATCAAGATTAATTAATTACAAACCTTCTAATTAATTAGATTATTTTTAAATCAAGTGTCACCTCTAATAAAAATGTAACTTAAACTATTGTTTTGTTTATGACTCTAGCTTCACCTGCCGCTCCACCCTGTAAGCAGGAAGTGTCAAATGCAGGGCCGACCACACGCCGAGGATCACGGAATAAGAAGATCAAGTCAAAGAGAGCGAAACTCATTGCGTCTTCAAACAATACGGCGCCCCATCACAGAAGGCAGCCACCACAGCCCCCTCAGTTGAACGGTGGCTTCAAACAGACCTCATGGTCTCCTTCTGATGTACAGTCTACATTCCCCGTGGCATATACGGTTGTAATGCCAGGCTACCCCCTGCAGGTTCACCCTGGAGACACGTCCACGTCTGCCTACACAGACGCCACAGCACAGGGATTTGGGAATAACCAGGCACCTCCCTGTCCTCCTACCATTCATTCTGATTCCTTCACCTCCCAAGCGGTCACCCCCGTTGTGGCTTTGATGCTACCTAATTGTTTATACCCTTTAGTGGACCCTGGGCATCCACCTCCTTCAGTGCCAGTTTATCAAGTAGAGACTGGAGGCATTCCCTCCCAAATGCAGCTATTTGATCAGGCTGCCTTTCCAGGACAAGGAGCATTCCCTTCTCCTCCCCAGAACCACTTTACTCCCCTAGCAAGCTACCTGTGCCCATCATTCTACGTCCCCTTGTCATCAGAAACTCCAAAACCACCTGTGGAAAGCTGTTCGCGTTCCTCCACGCCACAGTCTGGAGACAGCAGAGGTCCGACGTCTCCACCTTTGTTCCATTCTTGCTGCAGCTCACCCCTCAATCTGCTGGAGCTGGAACTGTCTGTGGACAGGCAGGACAACATGGCGCTGTCCTCAGGAGGTCAAGGGAGCAACATGGTCGAGATGGAGAAAGGAGCGAGTGCCAACCAGGCCAAGGAGAGGGAGTTAAAACAGGTAAATGAGGAAACAAACTAACCTCTTCCCTTTCCTATTTCACCCACAGTGTCTAATATTATCCAGCTGTGAACATCAAAAATGATAAAAACACAAGTACATCACTGGAATATAATCCATCTCTAGGTTGTGCTAAATTTCCCTGATGTGTTCAATCAGACATCTCTGCCTTTTGGATTTTAATCCCAGAACTGTGTGTGTCCACACAACATATTGCCATTTTTAGCTGCTACAGTTGTTTCACTGTTAGGTTTCTGTGCCTTATCTTTAAAGTCAAGTCAGTCAAGACTCCTCAGATCAAATGTGGCACTGGGTGTTAATGCTATCATTATCCCTTACACCCTTTAGCCCTCTCTCAGTCTCCTTGGTCCACCAGGACCCTTGTATTTCAAGCCCACATCCAGTGTCTGTGAGGGTTTGTCTTGGGATAAAGTGTGGTCTAGGGTCGGGGCTTTCAGCAAACAGGTAGGCGAATCATCTGAAAAATGCCACATCTTTCAAATCCCATTCCTTCCAAATCTATTGTAATGGGTGATAACAGTTTCTCCTTTCTTTTGTATTTTCACCTTTGATTCACATACGTATTTTTTTACTTATCTCAGACTGGCAAGGGTTTCAAGGGAAGTGTCAAGTTAATCGTTTGCATATAAAATTACCATTTCTGTGTCAAATAGTTGTAAAATCCAGTCTGGTCTTAATCTAAATCCTACAGTTTTTTACAGCCTTTAAGTCCATGAATTTTACCATTGCTTTTTACCGGTATTGATTTTATTCTTTCATTGGAGTATTTCTCTTATCCGATTTCGCCATCTAGTGGCTGACAAGCATATCACACTCATTGTTTTTTTAAGATTTCAATTTTCAATTCAATAATTTATTTCACTCAAAGTTTAAATATACAAACTTCAATGAGTTCAACAAAGATGGCGACTTCATGGTTCTGTTTACAAATGTGCTTCTGTAGCCGCCAAACAGAGCTAAACACGTTGTTTTACGAGTATTATTCTCATAGATTTATACTTCAGACTTTCTTGTCCGTGAAAAGTTCATCAACTCTGCTTCAGCCGAGGTATTCCTTAAAATTGGAGCGAGTAAGCGGTAGTGTAACGCTATTGGTTAGTTCTGGTCGGCACTCATTTTCCTATTACACGGAGCTCTGCGGGGCGGGGGGAGGCGTGCATAGCAAAAAGAAAGAAAAAGGTGTATTGCTTACTTTATATCACAGTGCATGATAAGATAATCACTTTTACGGATTTCTGACAAATCATACATAATTTCTGAAAGGGGAAAACTCAAGAAAGCTACTTTAACATCATCTGAGATGAACTATTCAGGTTTTGACATTTTATTAATTTACTTTTTAAATAATTTTTTTTCTTCTTTGTGGCCAAGGCAGCAAAACAGCCCCAAACCATAAGCTGCCTCTACCGTGCTTTGTATTATGTATGTTTTTTAATTGTTTCATACACCTTTTCATTCTTATTTTTCCTTTTATATCATTACCAAATTCCTCAACTAGAACCACTTACCTCCTATAGCAGTGCATGGTCATTTTGGTTGCACAAGGCTGTGTAACGTTGGACTGAAGTTTCTCCTTTGATTGCAGAGCTGATTCATGATTGAGCGAGACATTTTTCTCAGGATGCAAACAAATGATGTTGGATTTTCCCACTGGTGGACAGTGAGCTACAGCTTGAGGGTCAGAGAAGTTGTAGTAAAGTTGCTTTTTAATGGTGTCATTTCAATACTTTGTGTTTTTTTTTGCAGAGGAGCTCTCGAGATGAAACCAACATCAGCGACGCCATCTCAACCTCCAGCGACATGCTGGACATCATTCTCCAAGAAGACTCCTACTCAGGCACGGGCTCGGCCACCTCTGGGTCCATGGGCTCAGGGTCAAACGGCTGTGGGACCTCAGCCAGCGGAATTTCCAAAAGCAGGACATCAGCAAGTGGGACGTCAGGCAGTTTTTCAGGTCAAAATTCCACTTTTTGATTAATCTTAACTTCACTTCATCCATCCATCCATTCTCAGTCGCTTAACCGGGGTCGGGTCGCGGGGACAGCAGCCTAAACCGAGAGGCCCAGACTTCCCAGGAATCCTAAGGCTTTCCCTGGCCAGCCGAGGAACATGGTTTCTCCAACGTGTCCTGGTTCCTTTAGGTCTGCTTCTGGTTTGACGTGCCCAGAAAACCACACCAGGGAAGCGTCCAGCAGGCAACCTGACCAGATGCCTGAGCCACTTCAACTGGCTCTTTTCGATGTGGAGGAGCAGCAGATCTACTCGAGCCCCTCCCGGATGACTGAGTTTCTCACCCTATCTCTGAGGGAGAGCCCAGACACCCTGCGGAGTAAACTTATTTTGGCCGCTTGTATCCGCATTCTTGTTCCTACGGTCACTACCCAAAGCTCATGACCATAGGTGAGGGTAGGAATGTAGATCAACAGGTAAACTGAGAGCTTCGCCTTCTGGCTCAGCTCTTTCTTCACCATGAGAGATTGCCCGCATCACTGCAGACGCATCACCAACCCGCCTATAGATCTAATGCTCCATCTTTCTCTCACTCGTGTACAAGACCCTAAAATACTTAAACTCCTCCACTTGGGATGGGATTTCAGGGATGAGGTCCTCAGTGAATTGAAATGTAAACCCTTTCTGTTTGTCCGTTTTCAGGAAGCAACAACAGCAGTAAATACTTTGGCAGCGTGGACTCATCTCAGAGCAGCCAAAAGGTCAAAGGTCACTCATGGGGCAGCAAGGGAGGACCTGCGGAGACGGAGCAAAGTGAACAGTTCATAAAGTGTGTGTTGCAGGACCCGCGGTGGCTGCTCATGGCTAACACTGAAGAGGAGGTCATGATGACCTACGAGCTGCCCTCACGGTGAGTCAGAGGACACGGACGCAGCCGGAGAGGACACAGTCTTGTTTTTATGGGAAAGTTCATTTTAATCAAGCTAAACATGTTTTTATTAGAGACTCTGTCCTTTTTGGAAATGAGCATCTGATAGAGATGCATCTGTTACTGGTTACGTTGACCTAATAACTCAACATGTCACTGATATGTTTTCATCAGTTGCAGATAACACATCCAGTTTTATATTTGCATGTAACAAATGCTCTGATTAATAGCCCCCCCATGCCCCCTGCAGTATGTAATATTTGGGTTAGGGTGGAAAGTCTGTGACGTGTGACTGTCCTGCTCTTTTCTCTGTGTTGTAAAAGCAGACTGAACTAAATGTTTGGATTTTTATGTTACGACTCAATCGTGTTTTTTCAGCTTAGACAATAAATACTCTAATTTCACTGTCAATAGAAGGAGAATAATAAAGAGATGGAGAAATGTGTCACAGGAAAGATGTATGAGAGAAAGTAGAAGAAGTTGGTGTGTTTTTTCTGAAAACGTTGATAGCTGACAGTAGAATTAATGAATAAATAATGAAGGTAATAACCTGAAACATAGAGCCATCAGGCAGATTTCAAAATCACATTAACACTTGCATTAGTGACCCCCCCAAATAAAACTTGTATTACTGTGAAATTGTGATTTTACTAATAAAGAAATTGGAATTTTATTGTGGAATACTCTAACCTCTTTTTATCCCTTTAAAAAGGAATCTCTAGTCAGACTCACTACAGTGACTAAAATCAGTCTTTAATGGTTTTTAATTTCAAATAGTAGGTTCAATCAACAAGTATAGAGATTTTATGTCTTTTTCACTGTTTTGCTCTTTTATCATTCAACATTAAATAAAAACCACAAATGTAAACAAATAGAAAAATCCAGCAATGGTTAAACCAGTTGTTGTACGATCTCTTACCACTAGATGACACTCAAGAACGATCTGGATGTAAAAAAACTCATGGAAGGTAGAGAAATGAGTTATTTTAACTTTACTATAAATGATCTTTCAGACCTGGTAGAACAATAAATCAGCACAGAAAATGTAATTTTACTGCAACTTTAAGGTTATTTTGCAGATAATATTTAACTTTTTTGCCTGCCTGGTCAACCAATTGGTCTAAAGTCCCTACAACTCACTGAATCAGCGAATAAACTAAACAAATAAAATAAAACTGTGAAACATAATTAAAGAAAATACGGAGTTGTTTAAAGAACAGGCGTAACATTATGACATTGCATTATTACAACCATAATATTACTGCAATTATATTTGTTACTATTATTGATTTACAATAAACTAAAGCCCTTATTACCCAAATCAAAAAGTGTAAAATTAGAATGTTTTCATAGTTTTTTACTTGGTGAGGAAGTTAGAGGGTTAAATGCCCTCCAGACCTAAAATGCAAATATTTATATAAATTGTAGTAAGTAGTTGATGCATTTTAGTTTAAAAGATGAGCTTAAACAGAAACTGATTGTTTTAAATAAAAACAAAAGGTCTAATAACAGAATTATTGTTTTACAAATATTATTTTCTTTCTGAGGGTTGATCTGCATCACCACACTTGTTTTTCTGCCTGTTATTACTTTGCAGCGACATCCAGAGCGTGCTCAGAGAGGACAGCGAGAAGATGCGGCTGCTGCAGCAGTGCCAGCCTCGCTTTTCAGAAGAGCAGAAGAAGGAGCTGAGTGAGGTCCACCCCTGGATAATGAAGGGAGGACTTCCCAAAGCCATAGATGTTAAGGTAACATTGCATTTTACTTAAGCACACAAACTCCTCCTCTCATCATTTAATTCTGCCTCTGTGTGATTTCCAGGGTTGCTCCTCTTGTGACATCACCTCAGAGTCAGCAGCAGGGCCAGAGGATCATCCGGACATGGACCTCGGTGATACAGAGATTGGAGATGTCGTCTGCCTCTGCCCTTCCCCGAACATCAGAATCCAGACGGAAGAAACAAGACAATAATGCAGATTTTTAAAGAGACTTGTTCTGCAGAAATGTAAAGGAAGCTGCCTTAGAGGACCAGTTACAGTCCATGCTTTTATAAGATGGATATGCAAGTGGTTAACATCACTTTTCTTCCTATTTTAAGTCTAGGATGGATTGTTTTGTCGTTTTCTGGGTTGTGTGACTGCATGTTTGTTTCTTGGTTAGCCGTGTTGCGCCTGGAAGCGTGTCATGCTCCTGATTAGCAGACGCACCGCTCAAAAGGGAACAGGAAGCTCTCAAACACAATAAGAGGTCACGCAGCAACATGCAGAGGCACAGTGGTGTTCAGATGAACTTTTGGAGGGTTTCTCATCTGAATTACATCAGCTTCAGTTACTCTTGCCATCCAAATAAATCAAAAACCAAATGAGCACAAGGGCTAGCGAACTAGACCAATTTCTTGTTTGCTCGGCTACAAAAGGGCACTTTGTAGGCTAAATCTGAAGAATATGGAGGGGCTGCTCTATTTTTCATATTAGTCATTTAAAAGCACACCTAAATCACACATTTATTTTACAAAAAACACTTAAATTACTCGTAAAATGTTTGCAATTTCAGGAAGAATTAAAGTCAGTTATGACCTCATTATTCTAACTCAGAAGGATCTTTTCAGACTCTGAACATTATATCGTCACATCAGGTGACCTCCATAATGCAGCGAAGCAGAACTATGCTGCCTTTATCCGGTTCGGGTCATTTCAAACAGTTTTAGGAGTCAAGTGTTACCCAATAAAGCTCAGTGTGGAGATATTTAGGTTCGATGTGTCTGAAAAGTGCATTTGTTTTAAAGCGAAAGCTGTATTTCTTTGCTGCCTCTTGCCACATTAAATGCTTGCGTTTTGTTTTTCAAAAATTATTTTTGATGAAAAAAATGTTTTATTTCAAATCTGACCAAAAGGAGAAATACTGCTCTAAATTTATTTTTTAAACATTCCCGCAGGAGCGGTTGTTTATTATGAAAATATCAAAGCAGGATATTCTTGATGTGATCTGAAACTGCCCTCAGTGATGTGTAAGTCTGAGCGTTTCAGATCGATTTAAGGGTTATTGTGCAGACATGAGCTCTGTCCCATTCATGAGGTGGCGTGAATCTGTGCCACTTCTGTGAACATTTCCTCAGGCTGTCTTTCTGCTACTGATGTAAATAACTTTTGTTTTTGTGTTTCGTGTCTTCAGGTGTTCTGTTTTAACAAAAGTAAGTTATCAAAAATAAAAAACGTTGCCCAATTTTCTGAAAAACCTCATGGCTCTTTTATTTATTTTGGCAGCAAACAAGCTTGATTATTGGAGCCATATCAGAAGTGGTGTCCATCCCTGGTCCTCAAAGGCCCCTGTCCAGCATGTTTTAGTTGTTTTCCTGCACCAACACACCTAGTCATGTGGAGAATTACCTGTTCAGCAGCCTAATATTCACCCACTGATTAAAATTAGGTGTCGAAGTGGATAAATCTCTATAACATACAGGAGAGTTGATCTTGATAAACCGGGGTTGGACACCACTGGCTTGTAGCCACGTGGTTTATTAGATGGTTTAACTCGTTTGAAAAAACAAAACTTCGATTTGCAGCCTTGAAATTTGCCAAATTTATGCAAACCTCCCGGTTTTTACCACCAATGGCCGCTAGAGAGAGCAGAATCCAGAAATGCAACAAGAACGTCCACGTTTGATATTTAAATGAGAAGCCTAAAGGTAACTTCTGCTAACATCCAGGGGTCACGACTCACACCTTGCTCATGCAAATCCACATCTGCCCCATCAAAAGCTCTGAGGAAGAATTTGCAGATCAAAGCCAGCGTGGACCGCCTCCTCTATTCACACGTTTATATTTAGAGTGATTTGGTGCGAACTTAGGCATTAAACTTTCAAGGATCTATATTCCACAGCGGAGGAATAGGTGCGTCATTTTATAAGCCTAATTTCTGATTTGTTGTTAATATTTTATGTTGTAAAGTAACATCTGCCGTCCGCTCCTCACACCTTTATGGTTTGTGACTACAAGTTAAAGGTGGTCCGAGTTCAAAGGGCCTTCCTGCTGCGGACATTTACAAATCTGCGGGTGCGCAAATCCGGCCTTTCTTCTTGTTTATTGGAAGTCAGTTCAATTAAAAGCATTTCCTTTTAAATTCAGTGGAGTAAAACCTTTATTCATTAATTTTATTTTTAATTGCGATGGCATCATTGTTTTGTATTTTTATTTTCTCTCTTTAACCTTTTATTATTATTATTATTATTATTATTATTATTATTATTATTATTATTGTCTGGCCTGCATTATAAATAGAAGGAAAGGAACTGCTCGTTGTATAAAATTCCTTGTTACGCCCTCTCAGCGGCTGAGATGATGGTGCTAAGACTGAGAGAATTCACACTGGGTGAACATCACAAGAACGTCAGAGAAGACACGTGACCAATGAGTGGATCAGGGATGTTTCTGAATGGTGTACACGCACACGCACGCACACACACACACACACACACACACACACACACACACACACACACGCACGCACACACACATACACATTATACACACACATTTTAGCAGAGTGTGCGGTGAGTGTGCGGTTTGTGGGCTCCTTGTGTGTGTGTGTGTGTGTGTGTGTGTGGTTATTTTTGTTTTGTTTTTATTTTATTTTATTGCTGCAAAATAGTTTTCCAAACAAGTCATTTGATTTAAAAAAATATTTTATTTGAAATCAACAGTTTCTGACATCTATAAATACAGAAAAAGCAGCAAATAAGTTATGAGCAACTATTAATACATCTAGAGAAGCTTGACCATATTTACAGATAAGGTCCATTTCCGTATCTGTAAAAATTATATAAATTTCTAATTAAATAGTTTCAAGATAAACATCAAAGAGCTGATGTACTGAGGTCGTGCACCTACAAACTTAAGCCTTCACCAACAAGGCCTCCACAGTGGATTGGAGCAAGTTAAGACCGCAGAGGGCCCTTGCTGGGTGTCTGCCTCCTCTGAGGAGACCTGGCCGTGCTCCGAGTCTGTCTCATCCATGTCAGAGCTGAGTTCATCGGGAGAGGTGGTGAAGAGAGCCGGGGACCCTAGGAACCCAGTACTGCTGCATGCGAGGCTGTTTGCTCCGTCCTCACCCGGCTCACCGAGCTTCTCTCGGAGCTCGTCGTTTAGGGGCATGCTCTCAAGGAGGTGGTTCAGCAGCTCCGCCGCCACTGCTGGGTCCATCCCCGGACTGCTGGACACAAACGTGTGCACGTCGTGCATGCACTGGATGTAGCCTGCGGCAAAACGCTCACTGGCCTCCCGCTTAAAAGCGTCCACCTCTGGGGAAAGACAAACAAATGTAACCGTTATACCCGCCGCTGCTGACGGGGCATACAGCGTCTGCTGTGATTGGCTGTTCTGGAGCGCACCGGTTCTAGTGAGATTATTAATCTGCCAGAATATTCCAAGGCGGAATAAGTATTTTTCTTGTGTTTTTGTTTTAGAAATAAAAAGTTTAAACACGTGTTTAACTATTTACCTTGAGTGCGGTTGTGTAGGATGGTTTCTACTTGTTTCACAGTGACCTCCAGCACTTCTGCATTCTCCATCTTTGAGTGGATCTACAGCGAAAGACATATATAAATAAATAAAATAAAAATTGCACGTTATCATACAGCTATTCCAAGACTGGAAACTGTTTATTTTATGTCTATAAACAAATTATCTTACATCCGGGTCCGAAATGAGGACTCTGAGTTCTTGTAAACTTTCATTAATGCGAGCTCTTCTTTTCTTTTCCACCAGAGGTTTTCTCTTCTGCAAATGAGAGACACGACCAGTTTCAAAAACACAGGTAGGCTATGATATGATCAAAAGCCCAAATATCCTACCTCTCTGTCAGATTGGACTCTTTCCGTTGTGCTTTTGCGCGCTGGAGCCATGTTGCTGCAGGATGCTGTGGTGTGATCCTGTCCGTCAGAGGAACAGATGGTGGGATTCAGCACTCTGCTCTGAGGGGGCATGTGTAGCTGGGTGTAAGTCGGTTAATTTGCATGTGAATAAGAGACCTGCTGTGAGGAGGGTGGAGTGTGCTTGGGGGGCATCCATCGACATATTTATCCTGTTCCTAACGTCTTTTTTAAAAAGCGGAGGGCCAGGCATGCAGAATGACCCCAAACTTGGATGCGATGTTGAGATGTTATTATTATCATTGCATCGACTCTTTCTTTGCAGTGGGATCACATTCTTAAGTAATAGCCGAGTGAAGGAAAAAAATAGTATTTAATCAAGTTCAGTTTGTGCAGAAGTCTCGAGCCATCTTCATTGTACCAGTTCATCCAGTAAATGAAGCTGTTTCTACAGTTTAAAGACTGTATTTGAATCTGTTTGTTACAAAAGCATTTTTGTCACCAAAGAACAAATATAAAATTCATAGACCCCCCTCCCCCCAAAAATTGATGGATCAACTGACTGACCAACTAATGTTGTGTTATGTATAATTTACTTGTTTTCTTTTGGGCATTGTGTAGCATGTACCACATGTTTGTCCTCTGTTTATTTGTTTCCTTGGATGTTAGAGGAGCACAGCAAAGTGAAGCCAATGTATAAAAAAATTGGATCAGATATTAGAGAAAGGAATAGAACACTTTCAAAGTCCTTGGTGACATTTCAAGAAGTGAGTTGCACAAGATCGCCTTTAAAGGTTAAAACAGGAAACAATACCACGAAAGATTTAATTTGCTATGAAAGTTGAAAATTGGCAAAGAACTGGCAAGGAGCCAAAATTCCATTTTTAGTCTTACTGACTGGGACACACTGGCCGCCGTAGCGCCGTAGCGCCGCGAAGCGCCGTGAAACGGGGACCTCCTTCATTTGGATTATCGCAAGCCTTATGGGCCATTCCCATCTGTACCGGGTCGGCCCGGGCCGGGTAGCCCCAGTTGGCCCCAGCCTGGCCCGGTTGATTCCACACATCCTTGCCTTAAGCCCATGTTGGCTGATTCTACCCACCAATCAGCGGCTTGCTCTAATGGAAGGTGTGAATTTGCTGTCAGCAGTGGGTGTGTTGGCCCTGGTCGGCCTGAAGCAGACCCCCTCGAGAAGAGGGCTGAGAATGAGCCTTGGTTGGCCCGGAAAAATACCAGGCCACCCAGATATGTAAACAACCTACGCTACCCAGCCGGGCCGACCCGGCACAGATGGGAATGGCCCATTAGGGATCACAATTCGCCCACTTTTGAGCACGTTTGGTTTTTTAACAGCGTCTTAATCGCCGTCTTTAAACTTAAAACGCAGAAAAAAGCGGCGGAAATCACTTCAGAACGTCGTAGCCTATTGCACGCAGTCTTCATGTAGTCTTTCAGAGCGATGTAAAAAACGACGTTTTATCTAGTTGTAGCAGGATGAAATAAGCCTGCTCCAAATTAGGTGGGTTGGAGCATACCGGTTTCCGTTCTCATGAGGGTGCTGTGGGTATAAAAGGGAGCTCTGCTCACTGTTGGAGAATGCTAATGAAACACTGCATTCTGGCGTCAGCTGCTGTACTCAAACTGCACCCCAGTAGGTGATCGGCTCTGCTTTGGTGGTATGTACTCTGGCTAATCAATTCGTTTTAAGGAGATTCGTACTCAAACTGTGTTGTGCACTCAACAGCTTGGGCATTTGTTTAGTTTGTACTGGGAGTGACGCTCATCCCAGAGTGAACTGAGCATTGGAGAAGAGGTATGTAGCACCTGCAGGGGACAGCATGTGAGTTGAACTAATCCAACTCAAGCTCTGTGTTAAAACTCGGACAGGTTTTGAACACCTGTGCGCTGCCGGGCGGGGAAGCTTCCTTGCGGCCTAGATGATACTAGCGGGCGGACCGGTAGGTATGGGCCTCACCTTCTCCAGACTTGGTCAAAAATATAAGTTGTTGACTTGTACCTTTTCCCTGCTTTCTCTTAGATTGTGCTCTGTGGTCTGGCGGGTGGCGCTGCTGTTTCGTTTTAGTTATTTTCCTTGATCAGTTTTCCAGTCCAAAACTCTGGAGTTAAAAGTTTTCTGGCTTTACTAAAATACATGTCTGTTCTTATTTGACTGATGGTAGTTTTACTTTCTATTAGACTCCAAATGTAATCATTTGGCACGTTTCTAATTCATAATTTGTAAGAATGTAATCGGTGATATTGGCATTAGCATTCCTATGGGTTTTTCCACGTATATTAGCATTGCGCTAACCACTCGCTGCCAAATTGCAGCCTTTGCGATTAGAAAATCTCCTTTTGTCACATCGCAATATAATTGCACATGCAGTTAATCGTTCAGCCCTAATATACATGCAGCTCTATGCTAAAAGTGTATTTTCAAAGAGGTAATGATGGATTTCTTTGTAAAAGTTGTCCATCTTTCCAACAGAAAGATTTGCCTGGACTAACGTAACGTGATAACAACGTAACATGATTACATAATTCCGTAAGGTTCATGTTCAGCCTATCAACTACTTTGACGTCATCGGCAGTCGACGGACCCCGAGCCGATCTTGCACCCAAGCAGATCTTGTACTGACAACGGAACCTGTGACACGGTCAAAATGGCGGTGGTGGCCACCTCCCATTTATCTTCAAAAATGTGTTATTGGAGCTATGGAAACCCATTGTCCAATATTTATATGTCAATGGTGACAACGTAACTTCCGTAAGCTTCATGTTCAGCCAATCAACTACTTTGATGTCATCGGCAGTTGAAGGACCCCGAGCCGATCCTGCACCTGAGCAGATCCTGTACCGACACCGGCGCTTCAGCGGCCGGTGTATCCCAGGCGTAAAACTGGAACTTCGCAGAAGCTCTGCATCTGATTTCAAAATCTATTTGACTTTTTGCATGTGAAGCATATATTATTAATGCACCATTAGATTTTTCGCTACACTTAAACTAGAGATCATAGTTGATTTTCTCTGCTACATTTTTTAAAATTTTTTGGATTATTCGGAGGAATCGGTGGCATGTGTACGACAGACTCATGTCAGTGTGCCCCAGGGCAGCTGTGGCTACAATTTAGCTCATCACCACCAGGATGTGTGTGTGAATGGATAAATGACTGATTGTGTTGTAAAGTGCCTTGGGAGGTTCCAGGACTCCAGAAGGTGCCATATCAAATACAGGCCACTTACCATTATCTGTAGACATATTTTACTTTTGCATTTGTCACAGCTCTAAAATTCATTAATTGTGTTATTCTAACCACACAGATAGTAGTAGGCCTGCACTATGTACAATTCTCAATTGTATGCAAAAGAGCCAAGCTTGACCCAGAAATGACAATCCTCCCTACTAATAACTTTATTACAGTATAGCTGATAGCTGAGCCAATTTCAAACATCACAACATTTCCGGATGATAGTCTTGGGGACGAAAGGAGGATTTTCAGCTTGAAATAAAATGCGGAAAACACTTCCATATTGGGCACTTAATTTCAAAATAAAAGTGTAAGATTGAGTAAAATCCTCAAAACTACTTTATTGTTAGCTTCATTCATTTTAAAACATTTAATCGTTCTTTTGAATCGTTATTTACCATAAGAAGGCAGAAACAATAGATTGTATATCATTTTTAAATGTTTCAGCTTGACACAGCCTTTTATTTTGAAAGCAACGAGGAGGCTTTTCCCTGTGTCCCACACAGCGCCTGTACGTCAAAGCCGACGCCGTTCTGACGTCACAGATCCCCGGGGGCGACGCTGCTCCGTCGCTATATAACTCCGCCGATGTTGTGGAGGGTACCAGCGCACAGAAGCAGACAGGAGACAGAGAAATCACACACCTAGCTAACAAACATGGTGAAGATCACCTTCCAGCCCGTGTCGGCGCAGAAGCCCGAAAAAGACAACGATCCGGACAAGATCATTCTTCCTCAGGCTCACGTGAGTTCACACTTCTTTCTGTTTCATGCTTCTGTGGTGTTTGCCCTTGCTTCTTGGCGTAACTAGTCTGCAAATTATCTGCAAAGGCTTTAATAAAGTGGATTAGTGATGCTTATCCATGCTCATCTGGTCACTGATGGGATTTAATCATTTTATTTAAAATGCTTTGATTAACCATAAATAAAATACTTTAATTAAAAACAACAGCATGAGCAGTCGCGTCACTTTTGTCTTGCTGAAGCTGTCAGTTTAATTTTGCAGCATCATGTTGACGAGTGAACAAACTGCTTGACATCCCAGCTTCTGGGTGTTGACATTACGTGGTTTGGTCACACTGCAGAAAGCAGCCTTGCCCATAGGAATGCATTCATGTGTTTAAATGTATTTGTTATACTTTCTTCATAAATGGGCTTATTTATAACGCACACACAAATAACAATAGAGCAAATAAATCTGCAACCTCTTTCTGTAGATGTTTTATGGACGCAGAGAGAGAGAGAGAGAGAGAGAGAGAGAGAGAGAGAGAGAGAGAGAGAGAGAGAGAGAGAGAGAGAGAGAGAGAGAGAGAGAGAGAGAGAGAGAGAGAGAGAGAGAGAGAGAGAGAGAGAGAGAGAGAGAGAGAAGAGAGAGAGAGAGAGAGAGAGAGAGAGAGAGAGAGAGAGAGAGAGAGAGAGAGAGAGAGAGAGAGAGAGAGAGAGAGAGAGAGAGAGAGAGAGAGAGAGAGAGAGAGAGAGAGAGAGAGAGAGAGAGAGAGAGAGAGAGAGAGAGAGAGAGAGAGAGAGAGAGAGAGAGAGAGAGAGAGAGAGAGAGAGAGCGCAGCATGCATTCATGTCAGAAGGTGTAATACCTTAGTGATCCTGTAGGTGTCCCAATAACTGATAATGTATGGTATTACGGTGTGCTGTCGATGTTAAAGACTCATAATTAGCTGTGCATGTATGCAAAGACAGAACAAAATCCTTAATGTTTCCCACACTTAATGTGAAAATTATAGGAGCAAGATGCAGAAAAAGACTAAATAGAAGATCTAACTCTAACTTGTTGACATCATAACCACATGATGACGTATCCATCTCCTCAGAAAACATATATTTTTATCTGTCGGTACGTCAGCTGAAGGATGTCAGAGGCTGTGATTGGCTAAGGCGAGATCTGAGGCGTCAGAGCTCGTACGTGTGGGCCTATTAATATGTCCGCCTCTGCTGAGGGACTCCTGCTCTACGCACTTGTCCTTATTCTAACTCCCACACAGGGAGCAGAGATTTAATATCCACAAATATGGAGCATGGAAGCTGTCCTCCAAGAATAGACCCAGACGGCCACGTGCCAGCATCTTCGTCAGAGCCTGGCACAATCTGTTCTCCTCGTTTCCGCTCTCCATGGAAACGATAGTAGAGAGAGGCAGCAGATTGACTGAGAGACTGCAGGCGGGCATCTGGCATGCCTCATTATTCCAGTCCATCCTACGTCTACTAGATCTTCTCTCCTGACTGACGTCTTGGACACCACATCTTATCAGAATTAACTCAGGCTCTGTGAGGAAGAGCATGGCTTTGTAGCAGGCTTTGTTTCCATCAATAGCCTCAATGCACATCAGTGACTCAGAGACTTAAAAGTAAAATAAAAGATGCACACTTTTCTTTCATTCATGCAAACACAACATTCCAGCATTACCTTGCACATCAGCGCCAATAAATTTGTGAAATTTTAAATTAACCTGTAGTTGTTCTTTTGTTTCCACAGGGACGACTGGTTCCCATCATAAAGCCTAAAAGGCCATTCCCACTGGGCCAGTGCTGCCTCGTCCTCAGCCTGGTGGTGTTCATGTCAGGACTGGTGCTTGCTTCAGTCTACATTTATCGCTACTACTTTATAACTCAGGTCAGTTGATTTCACAGCCTTTACATTAATGATCAAAAGCACAAAGTCAAGCAAATACTGCACCCTAAAGCAAACAAGGGAGGCTAACTTAGCTGTCTCACGTCACACAGCAGCAGATCCCAGAGGACAGCCTGTTTCACTGTCGGGTCATCTACGAGGACTTGGTGTACGCTCCGCTCAGGGGACGGCAAGAGCTGGAGGAGAATGTCGGCATCTACCTTGATGACAACTATGAGGAGATCAGCGTGCCTGTGCCTCATTTTGGAGGCAGCGATCCTGCTGATATCATCCATGACTTCCAGAGGGTAGGTTCTAATGAAATATACTCTTCTGATTACATTTAAAGTGTTTGATTTAATATTTAGATTTCATTGGTTCATTGCAGGGCCTTACAGCTTATCACGACATTGCCTTGGACAAATGCTACATCACCGAGCTGAACACAACCATGGTGATGCCTCCACGGAGCCTGTGGGAGCTGCTCATTAATGTCAAGGTGAGCCGGTTTAACGATGGTGAAGCTGTTCTAAAAGCCCGGCTGTCAGATAAAAAAAAAAAAGGGTCAGCGTGTTCCTTTCACTCTGTGATTAATCGTTGTCTCTTTGTCACAGAGAGGAACATACCTTCCTCAGACTTACATTGTCCAGGAGGAGATGGTGGTGACCGGAAGGGTGAGGAACATGAGGCAGCTGGGGCCGTTCATCCATAGGCTCTGCTTCGGCAAAGAGACGTACCGCCTCAGACGCCGCAGCCAGCGCCAACGTGAGTGCAAACTTCTGATTTATTTGGGGGTTTGAGGTGTGAAATTGAGATTTTTGCCTCATCTTCCCTTTTGTAAAGAATGGGTAGTTTACATCTTACTTATGAACCATCAAATGTGAGATTCCATAGAAATATGAAATATCAATCTGATGGATCTTTGAATATTTTAACCAGAAGATCGGAACTTTTTATTGCAGGGATTACGTGACACTTCGTATTAACTCTGAGGAAAGAAATTAATTTCTACACAATTTAAACAAGACTAACTTAAACACTCGGTGTACTGATGGAACTAAGGTGGAGTGAGACGAGAGATGAACGATGTATGTGTGGAATGTTGCTATCAGAACCAGCGGATCCGGATTTAGTTCTGAGTGGGAGTGAATGTTTCGCTTAGTTGGAGATTTATAACACACATGAAACGCCATCTGTCGGTCTACGTACCCCAGGGGAAGCCTCCGTTAGATCCAGAATGCCGAGGTCCTCTTGGACCCTCCTTGGTACCGAAGCTGGTAGACTTTATGTCTCTGCTCGAGCAGACGCAGCAGATCAGGATCTTTAGGTCAAAAACAGGACATTCATGACGCTACACTTTTCACACATGCCCGCGTGAGCAGTTGCGTCACATGATGTGTGCGAGGCGAGGGGTCATTGTGATCGCTGTTGAGTCACAGCTCAGATCTGGTGTGTGGAGAACATTCAGAGCTAGAACCAAATAGGGGCTTCCTTAGTGTCAGCTACTCATGGAGCAGCCTGTGTGTGTGTGTGTGTGTGTGTGTGTGTGTGTGTGTGTGTGTGTGTGTGTGTGTGTGTGTGTGTGTGTGTGTGTGTGTGTGTGTGTGTGTGTGTGTGTGTGTGTGTGTGTGTGTGTGTGTGTGTGTGTGTGTGTGTGTGTGTGTGGGTTCAGCCTGGGAACTTCCTCTTATGTGAGTCACTCACAGTGCGTGTGGACACATCCACACACACTGTGGAGGAGGCAGTGATGCGTATGAGTGATAACTGTGTCGTCGCCACCTCCAACTGGCCCGACAGCTTTCAGAAATGATGCAACAAACTTCCCCTCACGTACATATATGGGCGACTGGCGGGGATCGCAGCTGCTGATGCAAAACAATCGTGGGCAACGACTGTAGCAATATGAGCAGTTTTAGTGGTGAGTTTCCTAAACACTCCTCTCGCCTTCTCTTCCAGGTATCGAGAGACGCGAGACAAAGAGGTGCCACAAGATCCGTCACTTTGAAAACACTTTTGTGGTCGAGACAGCCATCTGCGACAGATTCTAGAAATCTGAGGCGGAAATCTCAGCCAGCCAGCACTGAAGCCTACTCCAAACCAAACCTCTTGAATTCCTTATGTGTTAAACTGCACTTTAAGAGCAACATGTTGTCCAGTAAAAAATGTCTTTTTCTTTTAGGTTTTGTCTTATTTTGAAATGCTCTTTCACGTAAAATGTCATTTTAGAATTCTGATAGTCTTTAACGTCGTACCTTTACCGTTGGATTTATCTGTAGGTTAATATCAATGTGGGTCGGTTCGTGACGTTGATTTAATTTAACTGCATTTTTGTATTTCTGAATAAGTTGGTGCACTGCAGATCATTGTAGATACTTCGAAGCTGCTCGTACTTTGCACTCATGTCGATGTTTGTTTTGTTTGGTTTAAATCCAAAACATACCTCATGTAGTTAAGATGTTAATTTTCTGGTTTGTATCAATACTGTATATAACTTTGATTGTTACAAAGCAATATATATTGTAAATTGATTTTTCTTCTTAATAATGTTAGATTTTTAACATAAATCAACTTGTTTAGTGAGAGATCATTGGTTCGCCTCTTCTTTTATTGCATATTAACGGCTTTAGACTGTAACTAGTAGCAGCACTATAGAGGGACAAAGGGAACCCAAGTCTGCGGAGAGTGATGCTATGTTAAGGGTTATAAACTTTATACCGAGTGCTTTATAGTTAAGATCACTCACTGTAGATCAGATCAAAGGTTAAAAACGTACTTTGTTATGCTCTTCCTCCTCTTCCTCTGTCTTTAGCTCTGTTCCATCTTGACATTGTCTCCTCAATCATGTTTCTCATCATTAAAAAAGAGCATTTATTGTCTTTTTATGATGCTCGTGTGCTCATATTTCATCATCTTTAACTGTACAGACAATTTCTCTGGTACTTTTTGCTGCTTTAAGAATAAAGAATCGAACTTTGTTTTGCTTTTTGGAGTCAATCTGTTTAAGAAAAAACTTAATTATCCTATAAGCACCATAGAAGATCTGGGTGGACACTCGTTTCACATTAATATCTGTAGGCGGAGTTTCCGCAACAAACAAACTGCAGGTTTTAGGAAAAGTTTAGTAAATTTATTTGATAATCCACAATTGTTTCACTTTGAAACTTCTGATTAATTATTAAAAGAAACCTAAACAAAACAAGACATCATGAAAATGTGCACAAATAAAATATACATTTACAACAACTCACATTTGACAGTTTTGCAGGTATTGCCTGATAAACATAAAATTAAATTACTTTTTACTCACAAACAGAGCTGCCGAATCCTTATTTTACTAAAAAATATCAAATTGAAGTTTTTGCTAAAAAATAAATAAATAAAGGAGCACAAACAACCTGAAGTAAACTGCACAATCAATAATAACGATCTGTTAGAATTAGCTGACGGCAGCTTGATTAACAAAAAACTAAAGATTTGCTCTCATTTAAACCAAATGTTTTCTGTAAACTAGACATTAAAAACAATTTTACACAGTTCAAAAATATACATACACATTTAAAACTAAATAAATAGCATTTACATTCATCACAAACATCAACAATTTTGTTGATTAAAGTACAAATAAAACTTACTTTCATGAAACTCCTACATTTTTTCCTATTTGGCTTTTTCATAAAAAAATAAGCAAAATTCTCCATATGTTGAAGTTTGCAATAATAATAAAATAATAAATGAATGTAAAATATGTTACTGTATGTATCAACAGGAAACAATCATTTATTTATCTGTTTTAAAAATCAGCCACATTTCAAATGATCAGTTTAGGTTAAAAATCTGTTTATAATGCATTTTATAAATAAATCCACTGTTCTGATGCTTATCTGAGTATTTGTGCTTCATTGCATTTATTAATATCACACTATAGTTAAATAGTAAAGATTTTATTATTTATGCCTTTCTGCATAATGAAAAGCACAATTCTATAACTATTTGAATGATTGGTTATCTCCTGGAAGATTAAACTGGATGTTTTTTAATTGAAATAAGATTTTTAATGTTTTATTTTACAATATAAAACTACTTAAGATCCATCTATTTTAATTTTTAGACTGTTTTTATGAGGCCATCAGGATTATTTAGGCTCCTTTTTGAATCTGTTTGATGTCAGTTGGGAAGTTAAACAATAAAGCTGTGCAGCGAACCGCCTGTGCCAGATTTAAAACGAGTAACACCACAAGTCAGTTTCTCATCAGGAGTCAGAGAGCTGAAAGTGTGTTTTCTTTTTCAAATTAAGCTACAAAAACTTCACAATAAAGCTCTGGATAGTGGAATTTCCCCTTTGGGTTTTGGTTATCAAAGCTTTTTGAGGTTAAAATGGTGCCTGCTGGTTTCCTGCTGCAGGACCAAACCTCCGCATCACACCTTTAGCTCAGTGCTGTGATGACCTGCTTCTTTCCCTCTACTCTGAGTGCACGCAACACTTCCTGGTGAGCTGATTGCTCTTTGTTAGTTTAAAACAAAGCTAAAAAAAAATGAATGAAAACGAGCCTTTCTCTGAATGTCTAAGATCCTTATTGAGAGTTCAGACCTCCGAGGTGCTGAAGGTGGCTCTTCTCTGGCCGCTGAAGGACCTCCTGAAGGTGTGTTTGGTGCTCCTCACCTCACGAGCGATGAAGTAGTAGCACAGAGCGTCCAGACAGCAGGTGATGTTGGAAAGACACATGGTGACCTGGATGAAGAGGCTGATGTTGGCCTTGGCGGCGCAGTCCTGAATCACTTGTTGATGCACCTAAAAGCAAGAACACATCATCTGTCGTCTGCCATCTTGATAACAGAAGATGTCGGTTTTATTTTGTGTCTATCTCACTCTGACAAAGAAGAGAAAACTCCAGCGTGAATGTTTTTCAGTTTGAAGATCAGTTGAAATTTTGTAATTATTTCTTATTTATCTGTAAAGTTAAAAGCCTGAACTAATTTTCCAGTGGATAGTTTTATTGTATTTACATATTTACACATCTTCTGCTCTTGCAGCCACTATTAAAGGGTTCCCATAACTGACGGGATACCAAACTCAGATTATAATCGTGCAGCAGGAATGAGTGTTTAAACGGTTTCATTCTAGGCGAGCATGAACGGAGCTTTTAACATGGAAATTTTGAGCCATTTAACAAGTGTGGAAAATATTAAACAAAGTTTGCTCAGAAACAAACTTGCTTGATTTGTTCAATAAATTGATGCGATTTTTTTGCTGTGTTTGTTTCTTTTGACAAATTATTTAGAGTTTCTGATTAAAATAAATAAAGTTTTCAGAAAGTGAACGATAATAAAAACAATATGTCCTGCTAAAATGTTCAAGCACATCCAGACTAAGCGCGATGATCTAAAGTTGTCAGAAACTGCCTAATAAACTCTGATATGAGGTTCTCATTAACCTAAACCTGAGTTTTGTCTCACCAGGAACTGCAGCAGGATGCCCAGGTGGCTCGGGGTGAACGGGATCAGGAAGGCGCTCAGGCTGCTGTAGATGATCTTCACACATGCCTGGCTCTGTGCGCTCCGCTGACCCGACTGCTTAAGGGTCCTGATGGTGTGAACCGAGCAGAGGACCACCACCAGCGCAGGCCCCAGGAAGCCAAACGCAAGCAGACTGCTGATCACCGCTGGGCTCCAGCCTGCGTCTGAGAACCTGTGGAAGCAGTGGAATTCTACCTGGCTGCTTTCCCTGAAGCCGTAGATGACTGGAAAGGTTGCAGAAATCACTAGGATCCAGACCCCCACACAGGTCATCAGAGCCGCTTTAGGGGAGCGCAGCTGCTTGGCTTGGAAGGGGTGACAGATCGCCACCCATCTGTCCACGGCTATGCACATAATCATGTAGATGCTGCCATAAATACCAACAAAATAAAGGTTTTCCAAAAAGGAGCAGAGTGGCTGAAGATCACCAGACCACCTGTAATTGGCAGCGTGCATTTTGGAGGGCAAAGGGAGAAGGAGGAGGAGGTCCATGAGGGCCAGGTTGGTCATGTAGATGGTGCACTCGGTCCATTTCTTTAGACACACGCAGAAAACGAGCAGAGCCACGATGTTGAGGCACAGCCCTGTCACAAAGATGGGAACGTAGATGACCATCTCCAAAACGGTCATCAGCTGGTCCACGTGCTGGGTGGAGCAGTTATCCGTTAGGTTGTCCCTGCAGGTGGGGGGGGGGGGGGGGAGAGCTCCATTTGACTTTTGAATGTGAACGTTCCTTTCCTGTCATTACACTCGGTTCCCACACAGAAACACACATTGTAAACCACTGCAACACAGCAAGTGAAACTTCTCAGATGTGTGGATGCAGGCTCTGAGTTTGTTTTGTGTTTCTCTCGTCGACCATAGGAACTCTTCATGGCTGATCTCAATCCCTGCATGTTAATCTGAATAAGCTCTAAAGGTTAATCAGATAAAAAACTGAACAAAGTCCCTGGCTCAAGTGGAAATAACCCAGATTTAAAAGGAAACAGATGGTTGTGTTAAAGATTTGGCTTCTGCAGAAACACGATCGGATCCTGTTGTTAAGGTTACGTTTAAATAGAAAATAAATAATCACAAATGTAGGTTTTTGACCTCAGAACAGGAAAGAGAGTTAAACACAGCAAATCGTCTGCCATCGTCTGAGGTGGAAAAGGTCGTCTCAGCAGAAAAATCTAACATCTTAAAATCTGAAAAAGAAATAAATATCTTCACATCATACTTTTAAGTGCCGTGCATCGAGAATTTTAATAATCAATTTAATGTCAAATTGTAAAAGTTTTTAATGCATTAGTAACATCCTGCAGAAAAGTATCACAGGTTTTTATTCAATAAAACAATAAACCACACTTTCTGTTTGTCTATGGTCCTAATTCAAACATCAGACCGTATCAGAGTCTCCTGCAGAAATCAGCCAAACACTTAACGCCTGAAGTCTGTTTCTAAGAGTTCTTATCGAGTGGAAAATGTGAGATTGAGCGGTGCTCTTACCCCATGACTGTCTCAGAAGAATTTTCTTTGTTTCTTTCTGACTGTCTGTGCCGTGCCAGACACGGTTCTGCTTTTGTTGTTTCATCACCACTTCCTGAGTCATGCCACACATCATGTATGTTTGCACTGATGCGTTTTAGAGTGCAACTCGTCCAGCAGGTCTTAGTTTACACAGACCGGCAAACTCGAGCGAAGGCTCGCCGCAAAAGTGACACAACTGTAGCCTTATTTTCTGTAAATAACCATCAGGAGAAACTGACACCATGTGGGTATAGCACCATGGATGTAATTGGGGGGGGGGGGACATGTCCCCCTCACTTTTTCCAAAGTCAAGTTTTGACCCCTGCACTTTTTACCATCCAAAAACAATATAACGCTTTATTAAATTGACACTGGTTGAGCTACAGGACCAAGCAGAAAACAACCGTTTGTGTTGAAGCCTGTTTCCCATTAGAGCACACTGTAAAGATCCTCCCTGTGCCCCCCCCCCCCCCCACTTCTAAAGTGAAAATTACGTCCATGTATAGAACAACATTCAGATCTCTTGTTTCAAACACAGAATTTGCCTCTAATGTTCAGTTTTTTAGCTGAATATTTGATGTCTAAATAATGATCACAAACCTAGAAATTTCTGAAATTATAATCCTATTTTTCTGCGAGAGGTGAAAAAGTTAAAGTAGTTGTTTGAATTCCAAACTCTTAACCTTATGGTGTTCATTTAAATCAAAAATACACGTTAAAAATGTCTAAGCATCACTGCTGAGACCAGATTAAAGAGCTGAAGGAGCAGCTGAACACCACAATGGCTTCTCTAAATCACAAAAACACGTTTTACCAGCAACATCAACACAAACGTTAAAAAAACATTGGATGAAATTGAGGAAACATTGGTCTTGGTTAATGCCACAGCTCTCTCATGACTACTGCTGGGTTGTGGTTTACATTTCCCTAAACTGGAATTTCCTTCCATGTATGTGATGATGTTAGAACACACGTGAAAGGCCTCAAAACATGTGACTTTATTCACCTGATGTCCTGGCACTTGAAAACTTTACAGGGAAGTCAAAAGTAACATAAAATCAAAAGTCCAAACTGTGATTTTGTTCTGAATTTTCTCGCATCAAAGTGGATGAGTGATCTGAGAGCTGAAAACGCGGGTGAGAAGCTGCGGCTGCAGATTTGACTGTGATTGATGTCACAGCGTTTCCTGGTTTCGGACAATGACTTTACTGAATCTGAAGTGTGAGAATATCTCGCTGCTGTCGTTTCATTGGCTGAAAGCTTCCAAACATCTCCCAGCATAAAGAATATTGCTGATTTGGATACAAACAGGAAGTGTTTTGGAGAGTGAGTTTGTTGGTTTCACTTTGCAGGAAAACTTGAGCTTTTCTTGCAAAGTGAAAGAAGTCTGCTCGGGCCGCTGCCACCTGCTGACTGGCACCTTAAAAACACTAAACTTGTTTATTTCTGATGCATTTGCTGAAATAAACGGAGATACTGTTATTTTATCATTTAACTTTAAAAATGTGAGCAAATTGCAGGTCAGGAAAAAAATTAAGGGGAGGTATTATGATTTTTTCTTAAGTTATAATACGTCTATTGTTGGTATCAAACATGATGATGTAGTTCTTTGCACCAAATCCCACTCACACGAAGCACTTTCAGCAGTTTTACATTTTGACATTTTCAGTACCTTCCAGAAAGAACCATTTCAGGGCTCTGTCACTTTAAGAAAACATGCTGGAGCTGGCCACACCTACCTCTGACCCACTTGGGAAGCTTCGATCACAGACATCATACACGTAGATGCGATGTGGACTCGCACTGCCTATAGGGAGCTTAAGTCTCTTCCCTTTCCGGTCGGCTCGTGAACCCTAACAATAACCATACAAATCAGATGTCGGCATGTCACACGTCACCACAGAATCTCCTCTGCTTTAGCGTAGCTGCTACTTACCACATTGCCAGATTTATTGTGATTATTTCCTCCGGAAGAAAGGATTTGAAAGTCACTGAACTTACAGCTACTTTTCCTCTGCTTTTCTCCGTGTCTAGTTCAATTTTGTCAATTTGGTGATGCACGTTTGTAGTCCTAAAATAACGTTTGCCCCCGTTTGAAAATAAGCATCCGAATGGGTCTTTAAAATTCACAGACATGATATTTGAAACCCATCGCACAAAACAAACGGGATTAGAAAATAGTTTTATAGCCTCATTGACTTGCATTCATTTTTTTATTCTTCTAGGGACCCTTGGTCCAGAAGCATTAGGCTCCCTATTGGCGCTGGCATAGCAGCTGGCTGCCAACTTGGGTGGGTCTCCATTAGCCCCCACAGCATTTATTTCTATTGAGGAGCTCAACTAAAAAAACACACATTTTATAATGCTTTTTCACTAAATCAGATAATGATGACTAAAATGTAAATATACTTAAAGTTAACTAAAATATAAAATCCCAATAGGTGTGCTGGAAAATAAATAGTCATTTCTGTGATCTGTTTTCAATAATGTGTCGGTAGGCTGCACAAAAAATGGGCATAGTTGCCCACCCTGCTTTGACTCCAGTTGGTTTACAGAGTGATGAGACCCACCCAATATGGTGGCGACGCTGTTATGCTCTCCAGCACTCAATGACTTGTCTACGTATTCTTGCCTATGACTTCAATATCTGGGAGGGGCATGGAGCAATGACACCCGCAGGAAATGTTTCATTTTGATTTATATTCCTATAATTTTGACTTTATGACATAATCATGATTCTAATTTAGGGTTATTTAGTGAACATAAGTTGGGTGGGTGATGTTCCTGCAGGAATATTCTTTCTAAAGATTCAGTGAGAGAGAACAAATTTAACTAAAATGGTTAAAAATAAAGAAAAACAGACTCACCTTTACTTAAATTCATCCTTTGCAATTAGGAAACACAAGAAAGGCTCTTTTTTAAAGTTATCTTCTTTTTTATTTGGACTCCACAAATATTTAAATGATGCAACAACAAACATCTAAACTTGTTCAAAAGTGACACCAGGCAGGTTGTTTGTGGCGCCTATTAAAATTCACTGAGCTAGTTAAAAGAAAATAGAAGAAGTCACATTTTTTGCAAAGATTACAACAACAAAAGGGACTCACAGCATATAAACATGATTTTGAGCATGAATGCAAGATCCTAAGGAGATTAAAACAAAAGGGACATGCTCTGATTGTACTGGAAGAGCCAGCCAGTTTCTACCACTGTTGTAAATGAATTTGGTCTTTTTAGTCATCTAAAAGGGACCCGCCGCACTTTTCAGCACCTAGAGCATTTGATCTCTAAAGGAAAGACGAGGGTGTGAACTCGAAATGGAGATTGATATCAGACACACACAGACACAAACTCTGCACAAACATACACTCTTTCACACACAAAGTGAGGCGTCTTCGCTCTAGGAGGCTGTAAACTTCCTGACTGTGATTACGATAAGAGCGAGGAGGACCGACGCTCCCAGGAAGACGGCTATGACTATGGCTGTGATGGCTCCGGGCCCCAGAACACCTACACACACACACACACACACACACACACACACACACACACACACATATTAATGCAAACAGATGCTCAGGTGTGATTGATTGGTTAAAAACTCAACAGTTTTACCTCCATCCTCATCCAGGATCTGGGGTAGCGTGGAGTCCTCGTAGTCGAAGGTGAAGGACTGGTCTGTGACGTCCTGAAACGGGGCTTTGGTGGTCCCTTCAGCAGGTGGATCTCCAGACATGGTGTCCTGGTGGTCCCTGCTTGTTAAGGAGGTGTCCAACACTGTCTCTGCCAAACAAAACAAACACGCTAACAGCCACGAGCAGCCTGTGTGTTTTGGTGTCATTCACATCATTTCAGCCCAACTCCTCAAAGGTCTCTGGAGCAGACGAAGACAGAACAAGGTGCCTCTGTTCTCCTGACGCCCTGACTGAGGAGTCTAAACAGAATCTCAACGGCTCTGAGATTGCGGTTCATCTCTCTTGTAAACTTGAACATCAGTACAGCTTTTATAGGAGAATCCAGAGGAACGAGAGGAAAAAGTGATCGTCGTCACTCCCGTTAGGAAACCAACTGTTCATGCTGAAGCCCACCCATTTAGGCGCTAAGTGATTTACTTGTCCAGCCCTCAGCTACCAGCATTCCTGCTCGACCATACTCAAAACATGTTTACGTTTATCCCTCTATTACCCCCAAAGTATTTTTCTGCTCAACTTTCATTTAAAAGATTTGTAATTTACAATTCTGATCAACATGAACAAGGATGCTGATGAAGAGGTCGTATGAAACTGAGGTCAAGTCAGATGTGGCCCCAGCTAAAGTTGTGAAACGCCCGTTTGATGTGCGTGTTTTGACTCTGAGCTGTGTGCAGCTTCCTGCCCTGTAGCTGGCTGCAGGTCTGGAGTCCCAGGCCTGCGGCCAGCTCCGCCATCAATAAGGCCTTCAGCCGTGGACACAAAAGGTCGCTTGTGCGGCCGCACGGGGCCGCCAGGCTGCAACCAGTAACAACCGGTCAGGCTCAAAGTAGGCACCGGCTCGGCACTGGATGTCAAACAAACTTGTTTATTAAACAGTCCTTGAGTGTAAAAAGCTGTTGCCCTCTGAACAGCCCATTTTAATAAAAACAGCAAAAATAATAACACGCTTCCAGCAGGACGGGTTTACTCAAGCCCGTACATGACAGACTCAGTTGGAAACAAACATCAAGTCTAAAAAATGTCACAGAGTTGATGACGTTTGAATCACGGCTCCAGTGGTGCCTCCAAGGGGTGGCCGGGGGGGGGGGGGGGGGGGGGGGCATGACCACCCCTAGAAAACTGTTGACTACTCTAGGGAAGACCAGTAATCTTTGGTAAATCATGTTAAATGTACCGTATTTTCCGGACTATAAGCCGCTACTTTTTCCCACGCTTTGAACCATGCGGCTTATAATGAGGTGCGGCTTTACTGAAGATTTTCCTTCACCTGCCGGGGGTGCTTTAGCAGAAAGCGAAACAGGTGGAAGTCAAAAGTGGAAGTCAAAGAAAGTGCTCATTTTAATTTAGCACATGCAAGCAGCCGGCACGACGAAGATTTTTTTTCAAGTCCATACCCCCTCATCATGGAAACTACACGTATGAGTTCATACGTTGCCGCATTTAAGTTGAAGGCCATCGATCTGGCAGTAAAGGAGGGAAACAGTGCTACCGCACGCAAGCTTGGCATGAATGAATGAATCCATGGTTCGGCGCTGGAGACGGCAGCGGGAAGAACTCATTCAAGCCAGCTTCACCCGGAATGATGACAGCAACACAGAAAAGGTATGTGACGAAGCTCTTCTGAGGCTGTTCAACTCCGACACTGAAGATGATGACTTCAGTGATTTCAGTGCGCAGGGGGATGATGAATAAACTAATCAAGAACTTTTCTGTTTAGTTTGATACTGATCAGTTCAGTTACATTCAGTTAAACTACATTTTCAATTCAGTAGATATCCGGTAGATATCTGCGGCTTTTAGCCCGATGCGGCTTATATAAGTACAGTTCCATGTGTTTTTTTAAAAACTTAGTAGGTGCGGCTTATATTGAGGTGCGCTTTATAGTCTGGAAATTACGGTAAATAAATAAATAGTTAATGAATAAAAAATTATAGACAACTAATGAGTAAATAATCAGAATAAAAAAATCGAGATTATATAACTCTACTACTCAGCATTTTAAAAACAAATGTTCAAGTCTCTGTAGCTTTGGTGGATGTTTTTCTAAAGGCAGCAACAGATAAATGAAACTATGATAAAAATCTAAAATGATTTATAAAAGAAAATTTCTAATCACTCTTTGAATTGTCTTTTCTGATAATTTTATGTTTCTCAAATTTGAAGTAAGTGTGTTTGTTTATGTATGTTGTTTGTTAATGAAAAGGAATAAAGAAGCATGCGAGAAGTTTAAAATTTTAGCTCACTTTTTCCAAATTAACATTACTTTCTTCAACAAACTGAAACAATTTAGGTTTTATTCTACACTTCCATCATTTGTATAGTTTAAACTCCACTTCCTTTAAATGATGATTGTTTATTTCTTGTCATCTTTAACAAGTTAGCATTCATTTTAGATGAGATTTTGAACTCCTTCCTCACCAAATGTTATTCTAGCATTCAGTTTTTTTCATCTTGGATTTTTTTTGTCTTACCTGACACATTTACAAATAAAGATTCTTCTCATGGAGAATTCTGTAGGAACACAAAACTTGTCTAATTCCAGAGTGTGACTTCTCGTCCTCGGGACAATGTCTGGATCAATACAGGTCATATTTGTTAGACCCCACATATTCAGACTCATTTGAGTTTGGCAGAAGGATGATTTCAAACACTAAAACCATAGAAGGCCATTTGTTGGTTCCTCCAAGCTCCTCGGTCAGGATTTCACACCAAGCAGACAGATGACAAAGAGCACAGGCAAAAGTGTGTGAAAAGTAACTCAGCAGACGTTCGAAACCACAAGCGATGCAGGGCAAACATATAACACGATGCTGTCTGTGCCCTCACTTTGCACTCTTTGACTCAAATGTTTAGCCTTTTGTCTGCAAAACACTCAATTCACCCCTAAAGCTTTGCTCCAATCACAGCAACAGAAATGAACAACTTTCTGTGTGGGAGACGAGCCATCAGATACAGATACAAACATCAAGGAGTGACTAAAATTCAAAGAGTAGCCTAAATGCATCTTGTGACATTGTGTCCATCTTCTCACGGTGAACGAACAAATGAGGCTACGAGTCACAGTGGTTGACTTGTCAAAAACTCGATAAAATGCGTCAGCAACTCTAAAAACTAGTCTCACCTGCAGAAAAAACGTTTGTATTGTTGGATTTTTATTTTTGCAAAGGCGATTTTAACACATTTTCAAGGACAGAGGAGACTTTGTTGACCCACGCCTCTCCTGACCTGCAACTCTGGCCTCTGCACATGAGAAGCTTCTCTGCTCTGTCCAGAAACTTTCTCAACTTTTTTTTCTCATCTGAGAGATATTTCAAAACAGAAGAGTAAAATAGAAACAGCTTTGATGTCACTGTCTGATTACTTGCACATTTGTCTGTGTGAGAACCGTTCAAAGGTGGGTGAAAACACGACTCGCATCAATGGAAGTGAAATCCTAACCTGTGCTATGCTGAGTCACTTCAGCTCAGGGTGAGTGGGAAACTAGTTTTATTTAAGCTTCGTATGAACATCAGGCATCATGAAAGCGACAGAGTCCTCCGGACTGTCAAAGAGCAGCTTTCACAGCTCAGAGTGCTTCAACAACTGCATCATTTACATCAGGCAAAACACACACACACACACACACACACACACACACACACACACACACACACACACACACACACACACACACACACACACACACCCAGACCCTAATGGAAAAAGAGAGGAAAAGAAAAGATTCACAAACTTTTTGACAATTCATTAAATATATATGCAACTCATTTTAAATATACATGCAATGACAAACTAGGAATATGTTATGTTTGTGGAACCGTTTCTTCTTTATGAAAAAGAAGCAGGAAAAGTTGCGTCCACGTCACCTGATGGAAGAAATCTGAAAAACTCATGGTGAACAGGGGGATTACCTGTGTGCACAAAGGCAATCAGGAGGCTGAAGAGCGCCAGCAGGACAGCTCTGCAGACACTGCTGGAAACCATGGTGGTTGGTGAAGAATGAGCGTCTCCAAAAGTCCTCGAACGGCAACTTCCAACAAGAGTCAGACCCCGAGAAAGGCAGTATGAAAAAAGATGGGCAGCTGAGGGGTGCGACAAGGGGCTGGACTAGGTGAGTCTGGACAGTGTGCACTTTGTGAAAATCCAACCTTAAAGAACCTCCACCCACCCCCCTGCCACACACACACACACAGCTGAGGGATCTGGTTGACCGTTACCGGGTCACATGACCATTTGACTGCAAACAGGATGATTTATTTAGGATGAGAAAGGTAATTTTGGTTAAATATTAATTTTTTACTAATATGTTTCCTTTAAAGGGAGGAAATTAAAGGTAACCTTTTCAAATTTTTGAAAGGAGACCTAAAGAGAAGTATTTCTGATGCTGCTTACTGACTTTGTCCTGTTAGTTATCATCCTGGACCTGCTGGTCACAGCAGTGAAGTCACAGTTTCCAGTCAGGTAGGAGGAACATCTTTATTACACTCCCAGCTGATGTTCAGATTGCTGGAAACTTTCTTGGTGCTTTTTCCACAAACGCAGAATTCTTCTGTTTCTGGGCCAGAAACAACAGGTTCTTGTTGAAAATTCAGAATCCTGCAGAGAAAGACATTTCAGAGTCTTTGATGTTATTAAAAAAGTTTCATCTTAAAATTGTTTACAAACAATTGTTTATTAACTCAATCTGCCAAAATAAAAGAACTAAAATTTTTAGGATTTTTTGACAAAATTAGAATTAAATCTAACTAAATCAAAGGTGAATGTTAAATTTTATTTTCTTTTTGATATATATATATATATATATATATATATATATATATATGTATATATATATATATATATATATATATATATATATATATATATATATATATATATATATATATATATATATATACATATATATATATATATACACGCCCAGAGTTCATTAAGGCTCTGGATTTTGTAGGGTTGTGCTGGCTGATGCAGCTTTGCAACATTGCATGGACTTTGGGGCAGTCCCACAGGACTGGCAGACCGGGGTGGTGGTTCCCCTATTTTAAAAAGGGGGACCGCAACGTGTGTTCCAACTATGGGGGATCACACTTCTGAGCCTCCCTGGTAAAGTCTATTCAGGGGTTCTGGAGAGGAGGGTCTGGCGGCATGGACATAATTTGGGGGGGGGGGAGACATGCCCCCCTTTTCCAAAGTCAAGTTTTGACCCCTGCACTTTTTACCATCCAAAGACAATATTACGCTATATTAAACTGACACTGGTTGAGCTCTAGGACCAAGCAGAAAACAACCGTTTGTGTTGAAGCCTGTTTCCCATTAGAACATACTGTAAAGACACACACACACTTCTAAGGTGAAAATTACGGCCATGTCTGGTGGATTGTCAAACCTCAGATTCAGGAGGAGCAATGTGGTTTCTGTCCTGGTCGTGGAACATTGGACCAGCTTTATACACTTGGGTCCTGGAGGGTGCGTACTTCAGGAGTATGGGGTGCCAGGCCCTCTGATACGGGCTGTATGACCGGTGTTAGAGCTTGGTCTGCATGGCTGGCAGTAAGTCGAGCTTGTTTCCGGTGAGAGCTGGACTCCGCCAAGGCTGCCCTTTGTCACTGATTCTGTTCATAACTTTTAAGGACAGGATTTCTAGGTGCAGCCAAGGTGGTGAGGGGATCTGTTTTGGTGGCCTAAGGATTGAGTCTCTGCTTTTTGCAGATGTGGTCCTGTTGGCTTAATCAAAACGTGATCTCAAGCTGTCATTGAAGCAGTTCGCTGCCAAGTGCGAAGCAGTTCTAAATCCGAGAACATGGTCTTGAGTCGGAAAAGGGTAGAATGCCTTATCCAGGTCAGGGATGAGGTCCTGCCCCAAGTGGAGGAGTTTAAGTATCTCAGGGTCTTGTTCACGAGTGAGGGACAGATGGAGCGTGAGATCGATAGGGGTGCTGCATCTGCAGTGATGCCGGCGTTGTACCAAACTTATTAAACAAGGTTCTTTTTGCTTCGGACATGAAGGTGTTTCTAGTTACCTTTAGTTTCGACCGTCGTCTGCGGTCTTCTTATATATATATATATATATATATATATATATATGTATATGTATATATACACATATATATATCTTTCTGCAGCTTTTGACACAGTTGATCACAGCACCTTAACAGACTTATGGGCCATTCCCATCTGTACCGGGTCGGGTAGCCCCAGTCGGCCCCAGCCTGGCCCGGTTGATTCCACACATCCTTGCCTTAAGTCCATGTGGGCTGATTCTACCCACCAATCAGAGGCTTGCTCTAATGGAAGGTGTGAATTTGCTGTCAGCAGTGGGCGTGTTGGCCCTGGTCGGCCTGAAGCAGACCCCCTCGAGAAGAGGGCTGAGAATGAGCCTTGGTTGGCCCGGAAAAATACCAGATATGTAAACAACCTACGCTACCCGGCCCGGGCCGACCCGGTACAGATGGGAATGGCCCATTAGTGGTCTATTCTAGACTGGTTCAGATCGTCCCTTTCTAACATATGTTTCAGTCTAAACTATCCTGTCAGCATCTACCAATCTGTTCTGTGGGGTACCCCAAATCTGTTTGGGGTACCCCAACAGTCCACTCCTGTTTTACTATATATACACCCTTTTGGATAAAGAACTTTATTCCATAATGTCTCCTATTACCTATACGCAGATGACATTCAGCTGTACTGATCTTTAAGGATTCTGATTTCTGTAAACTGTCTGAATTACTAGAGTTTATGCGTTACAGATAACTTCCTTCAAACTCTGAAAATGTCTGATCATTGCCCCTGAGAACACAGTTCCTCTGATTAATCAACAACATGGTCATTTATCTTCTGCCATCAAGTCAAACTTGAAGAATTTGGGTGTTAATGACCAATCAATGTCTCTTGAAGTCCAATCAAAAACGTTGGTCCGAAACGGTTTTTATCATTTGAGTAATATCTCCAAGCTGCGAAGGTTGACATAAAAAATTAACTTGAAATGGTCAACCATGCCTTTACCTCCTCCCGGCTAGATTACTGTAACTCACTTGTCACAAGTTTTAACAAAAAAGCCCTTCACTACCTTCAGTTGGTCAAGAACTCTGCAGTGAGGCTCCTAACTGGAGCAAACGGAGGAGCTCACTTCATTCCTATTCTGATGTCAGCACTGGTTACCCGTTAACTTTAGAGTTCATTTCAGAATCCTGACAATAACTTTCAGGGCTCTACATGGTCAAGCTCATATTACTGAACTGGTAAAGTCTTATGCTCCGGCAGAAGTCTTCGGGTCCACGCAATAGAACCTTCTATAAGTTCAAAAGACCAGATATAAAATTCTACGTAATCGCCCTTTTCACACTGTTGCACCCGACTTTGGAATGAACTTTATTTTTACATTACATTGACAATCTATCACCTTTAAAAAGCAGCTAAAGACCCTTTTATTCAAAACTGCTTTAACTTAAATCTTTCATTTTGTCATTTGTCTAATGAGCTTTTCTGTTTATATTTCATCTGTTTTGTTTTAATAGATCTTTGAATATCATTTTGGGGTTTTTCTTCGCGTGATAAGTGCTATGTAAATAAGCTTTACCTACTCTTGTAGGAGATGAAAGACTACATGTGTGGTTTGAATAGTTCAGAGACAGATGTTAACAGCCCACACACCAGACTGTTTTATTCTTTCATACTGCAATAAAAAAGTATGACTCCAGTAGATAAGTTTCATATATTATAATACAGATGCAGAATTGAAAGTTTATTCTTTAAACAGTCTAGTATTTTACAAGAAATAGATAACTAGTTGGAACTTTTGAACATGTCCTTAAAACAGGACATAAGTTGTAACGAATCCTCTGGCTTTAAGTTTGCCATCATTATCCACGAACACCCAGCTGCAGAAGGAGATGAGGAGCAGGGAGGAAGGAGGGGCTTTCAATAAATAAAACAAAAACAATTATATATATTTTCTCCATCTTTAACCTTATTGCACCCACCCTTATTTCCACACTTAAAAAAAAAGTCCAAGTATGATGGAGCCCAAATCTGTGTATGCTGAAGATTCTTTTGTGTGTTTTCTCCAGAAGGTCGTGGTTTTTTCACCATCTGATTCTTTGCTTGCTTTGTTTTTCGAAAAGACCAGCCTGATTAAAGGGGAAACGGAAATGTAAAGGTGAAACTTGAGGAAGCAGTAATGGGGCAGAGGTTTGGGTAAAACAGCTGCTGTTCAAATGGGATACAGTCAGTAGGAGTTACTTGGCTGCCGTCCCTTAAAAGTCCTCCAAAGTCTCAATTTCTCCCATATTCAACCTCTCAGATGATGCGTTCACAGAAAAACCTGGAATTTGAACAATCACAGGAAAAAACTCCATTTAGTATAAACAAAAATAAAGGCAAATTTAAAAACGTGTTTTCTGCTCTCACCTAAAAGGCTGGGGTCTGCTCGAACCATCTTCTGCTTCTTTTTCTTCTTCCCTGAGGTGACTGTCTCAAACCGCTGCTGCTGCTGGACGCTCGTGTGGTTGGACGGGTAGATCGTTGAAGATCCTGTTCCACCCCACACCGAATCCTTGGTAAGAAAAACAAAGGAACTTAAAACAAGTCAAACACTAAAAAAACTCCCACTGCAGACACTCATTTAACCATTAAAACAAATCACTATTCATGTAGTAAAATTACATAATAATAATAATAATAATTACGTAAAAATGCCTTGAATAACTCAGACCCAGCTCCATACCTTTGACCAATTTAATTAGTCTAGCTTCTGTTTATCAGACACACCCGACTGCAGCTACAGTTAGAAGCTTTTGGCGATCAACGGCTGTGACAAGCCCTGCCCACAGCCTCTATGAGCCATGCCTGGCATTTGTGCAACATGTAACAGTAAACCATGTACGGTACATCGCTAAAGTGACGAGTTTTCTCAGAGCAACGCGTCGCCTGGTCGGGTCACGTTGGTGAGCTGAGTGAGATTTTGGTGAGTAAAATGGGATGGAAGCATCTGAAAACATCAACCTCAGACAACTTTAGGGGCTGACAGAGTATCACCTTGAGAAAAAAGTAACCTTAATCTTGGCCTGAAGACATTAACAGAGCCAACAGAGAGACGAGAAGCCACAACAATACCAAAAAATACCTCTTAGTTCCTAAAGTGTGTCATGTTTTGAGGTGTCAAACAGAGAAGGCCAAAAACACAAATGTTTCTCTAATTTCACAATTAAACATTTGTGTACATCTGCCCAATAAAATCAGCAGTGAAACACGTAGGCCGAGCCTTTGAAGCCCCATCAGCAGCTACCTGCTGCTGCTGCTTGACTTGTTGGTTCGACGGCGCCTGTTTCTGTTGGTTAGAGTTCTGTTTGGCACGACGTTCCAGAAACTGCTTGGCAAAGTCCTTGGATTCAGTAGTGTCTCCTAAATAGGCCCTGATGTAGTCGTGCACCTCGTATGGCGAGTCCACTTCCTTTAAGAAGGATGCAAATGTAGGAACTGGCAGGAAGACAAGAAAGGAGGAGACATTCGGATTGTGGCTCCCAAACAAGGCCCATCAACAGCAGTGTTTGTTAGATTTACCATCCAGATTGTTGGCTGTGTTCAGTGTGTGCAGCGTTTGCTCACACCACTGTATGAAGGTGTCCTGCTGGCTCTTACTGACCCCCTGGAACAACTTTAGCAGCTTTTCTTCCTCGTCAGCCTTCTTACTGGTTCGCCCACTCAGGGAGTTGCTTCAGAGTGTAAGACAAAAGAGCTTACTAAGATCTGTGTATTACTCACATCCTTTATCTCATAAGTCACTCTTTTCATCAAAGGCTGTGACTAAGAATATTTTAATTTGGGATCCTAAACAAATACCTGAGGTTGGCGTTGCCCTTATTGTTCTTCTGAGAGTTGCCTTTTTTGTTCTGGGGAGGTTGTTGGACAGCTTCTTTCACAGCCTCGTCCCAGAAGCCCATGTTTGAGTTCTGGGTGTCGCCCCAGATGCTGCTGGGGTCCGAGACCCAGTTAGTGCTGGTGGTGACAGACCCCCACACCGAGCTACTCAGTGATGTCTGTGGAAGGAGACGATAACGAGTTACAGCTACTTGACCACTGCTTTGACTGAAGACTGCATGCTCGCTACATACAGTTCTGTTCTGAGGTCGGGTTTGTTGGGTGGCGATGGGGTGTTGATGGTGCTGCTGCTCCTTCCTCTGCTTCATCTGCTGAGCCTCCTCCCTCTGAATCTCCAGCAAAGACTTAGTCATAACTGGCTGCTTGGTCATGTTACCCCAACCAGACAGCTTGGCTTGGGACTGCTGGGCTTGCTGCAGGGCCTGCTGCTGTTGCTGCTTGATGAGCTCCTGCTGCTGACGTCTCTGCTGAGGGAGGTGAGAGGAGCAGAAATAGTCATGGACTTGTCAGAAGACGTAACTCATTAACACAGAAAACCATGAAAGATGGGAGATCTCCTGCTCACTGTTATTACCTCCTCCCGTGTCTGCCGTTCCCTCTCCTCCTCTAGTTTCTGGATCTCGGCAAGTGACAGGGCGTTCTGAGAGTGGTTTAGAGAGCTCGTCGACTGCTGACCCCACTTAGAAGAGGATGGGAGCTGAAAAAGCAGGACGAAGCAATTCTTAAGCAACTAAAATCCACTTTGTCTCTGATGCACCATCCTGAGCTCCTACCTTGATTTGTGCAAGCTGCTGTTGTTGCTGTTGTTGCTGCTGCAGCCTTCTGAGGGCCTCCTGCTGCTGCTGCCTCTGTCTCTGCAGCTCCAGCAGTCTTTGGGCCTCCTGCTCTTTCCGTTTTAGCTCCTCTTGCTGCTGTGCAAGAACAGCAGCAGCAGCAGCTGCTGCAGAGGCAGCAGCAGCAGCTGCCGCCGCCTCCTCCTCAGCCCTTTTCTCCTCTTCATATCTCCTTAATGCTTCTAATTCTTCTTGCTTTCTGCGCTCCTCTTCCTATGAAGAGGAAAATACTTTATTTAGTCAAACACTCTGAGAAAATAAAACGCCAATCAAATCTTTGTATGATTACCTGCTTGCGAAGGAACTCTTCCCGCTTCCTTTTCTCTTCCTCTTCCCTCCGCCTCTCCTCTAACTGCCGGAGAGCCTCCTCCTGTGCCAGTCTCTCCTCTTCTTCTTTTTTCCTACGTATCGCCTCCTCTTGTTCCCTTTGCCGTCTCAATGCCTCCTCCTTAAGATTTCCAACACAAGAGTCAGTCTCAGTGCAGTAAGCAGAAAGGTACCATCTTCGATTAAAGATGTCCGACCTGTTTTTGTCGTGCCAGCTCTTCCTCTTCCAGTCGTTTCCGTTCTTCTTCCTGTCGAGCCCTGAGAGCTTCCTCCAAGCGTTTCCTCTCCTCTTCCTCTCGTTTTGCTCTGATTTCCGCCTCCCGTCTCTCCAGTTCCAACTGTTAAATAATCAGATAAACATTACCTTTACATCATCATCCAGTGAAACATATAATCTATAAAGCAAAAGTCTGGTTTCTAATACAAAAGATCATAAATGGAGTAGCTAACCTGATGAGTGTGTCTTTTAACCATCCACACACACACCACTGAATGACTGCCTACTAAATTGATGGGCCTCCCAGCGCATAACAACCCACAGCTACATCAGCAAAGCTCCAAACTTCAAATGAATCAAGCAAAAACTCCATAGCAACAAGCTAAAAGTCAAAACTTTATCAACATCTTTTTGATAACAGCATGATGCAACAAAGGATGTCTGTTTAACCTCAAAGATACAAATCGATGTTTGATAGGTTACCTTTGCAGACTTCGCCTTCTCAAACTGCTGCATCTGCTCGATAGTTGGAGCCTGAGCCATCGAGTCTATCGGCAAATCCCAGACACTGCTGCCTTCCCATGCTGTTAGGAGAGACACAACTTATTCATGAGAGTTTCTGATAACGGCGGACGCAGAGCAACCATGTCAGAAACTCACTGCTTGTGGAAGCTTGTGGTAGGTTTGGTTTGCAGGAGGCCTGCGAGGAGGGGTTCTGCATTTCCCACACAGAGCCGGAGGATCGGGTAACAGGAGGTAGAAGACTCTCAGAAGCGCTACAAGGATGCATACGAATAAAAACAGAAATAACAACTACATACATCATGCTGCAAGGAAGACAATGGTAGAAAGTAGGGAAAGACAGTCAAGCTTTGCAATCATTCTGATATTATCTACCTTATCTTAAGAGCCTGGTATTGCTGGAGAAGCCCGTTTATCTGCTGTTGGTGCTGCTGCTGCTGCTGGAGAGGAGCCGAGTTAAGAACTAGGGCCTTCTGCTGGGCCATCGCCTGGGCGTACTGTTGCCTTTGGCGAGAGACGGTTTAAAACAGAGATTACAAGGTCAGCTACATTACAACAGTGTTTATGATACATGTGGGTGTGAGCTCCACTAAGCAGCAGCTAACAGATTCATCTTTAGAACAAGATCTAAAGAATATAGAAGCATTTGTAACGACGATCAACAGGAAAAAAATCACAGAAACCTGCACCTGTAGACGGCTGGGCATTTGACCTTTTTAGAGAAAACAGGCTTTCATTTTAATCAGATCTGACAAAAACAGACCAAAATATAAAAAAAAGTGTGTGTGATATTTTACCTGTTTACTGTTAAATTCTGTGTATCCAGTTCACAAACTTGTCATTTTTCATAACAGCATCAACTTGAAATATTTCCCTCAGCTTGAAATTTTACATTACAAGGATGGAGTGGGCCAATTCAACTAAGAAGGAGAGAACGGGTACACTGTTGCTGTACTCGATTAGTAATGAAATCAAAAGACATCAAATTTGTCAGGTTGTCATAATGTCCAACGCTCGGCAGCCACGTGTGATGAGCTCCCTGCCCCCCTTTAGCTGGACACCAGCCTCCAAGTGGCGTCCCTGACTCCTTAACCCACCTCAAGTTGCTCTTTCTTCGTACTACAGCTCCCAATCTGGTCCCAATGTATCACTTCTAAAATCCTTCTCCAAGACACGTTCTAAAGTTCCTTTAAGTCTCTTCCCCTCCCACAGTCTGCCGTCTCTCTTCCAACACACTTAAGTGCTTCTTCCCTAGCCGGTGGCTAAGCTGGTGTTGCCCGCTCCATTTCAGCTGTGTTTCCCCAGATCCAGCCAACCCTCCTTTGCTAGCTGATGACAAACAGTCAGCCATGGCTGTCTACCCTCTCTGCAGCTCACAGTTAGCTGATGGTCAAGCAGCGGCCAGTGTTGTTCACTGTTGTTCAGTGTGCCACTGCTCCCAGAGCAACGTGATACCGGATCCATCCTTCATGTGTTAATCAGTGATCGCTTCAAGCGACCTGACAGAACTTGCTTGCTTCCGTCCATCTATCAGGACTGGTAGGTTAATATAACGGTCCTAATGAAAATGTCTTTAATTGCTCGGTCGTAGTTGTTATACGCTTCGTGTGGGTTAGACTAGAGACTGAAAACTGATTAAACATCAAGTTCATGCTATTTATTAAGAATTAACCTGATCGCTGGCGTGAAAGCTGGAGGTTGTTGCGTGGGCTACTGTAGCTGCAGGACTTACTCTGAACTGCATGGCACTAATGAGTCACATTTTGATTATGGTAATGTCTTTGGATTTCACACACAAAATAACCCATTTTCTTAAATATCTTTAAGCTCCAGGACAAGGTTTCAGACTTCACACCATAAAGCCAAACTGCTTTTTTTTTTTTTTTGAAAACGTCTGCTTTAGTCAGAGGGCTGCACAGTGTCGCAGTGGTTAGAGCTGTTGCCTTGCAGCAAGAAGGTCCTGGGTTCTCTTCCCAGCCTGGGATCTTTCTGCATGGAGTTTGCATGTTCTCCCTGTGCATGCGTGGGTTCTCTCCGGGTACTCCGGCTTCCTCCCACAGTCCAAAAACATGACTGTTAGGTTGATTGGTCTGTCTAAATTGTCCCTGGGTGTGTGTGTCTGTGTGTGCATGATTGTTTGTCCTGTGTGTCTCTGTGTTGCCCTGCGATGGACTGGCTCTCTGTCCTGGGTGTACCCTGCCTGATTGCCCATTGGCCGCTGGAGATAGGCACCAGCCCCCCCGCGACCCTACGTGGACAAGCGGGTTCAGAAAATGGATGGACGGATGAATGTTTTAGACAGAATAATATTGACTAATAAATTATTAGTTTGTAATAATTTTCCAAATAAATAAACCCAATTTTTTGCTAATAAATGAAATTATGTGTGAAGAAGCATAATTATGCTGTGAGAACTTCTGGTCAAGTGAGGAAAATGTCTGCTGGCACACCTGAGGAGGTACTGATACTGGAGCTGCTGTAGCTGGTAAAGATTGAGAGCAGTGAGCTCCTGCTGCCTCTTTAACCTTTCTTGGTCACCATCCGCCTGCAACACAAAACAGGATTGTGTCAAAACAAACAAAACCCGTGGAACAAAAGGCAAAGATCTGGTAAAACTGAATGAAAACACGGCCATGATTTGTGCCCTTTGTGAATAGTCAGATTATTCTTCAGAATAAGGCTTGAATAAAAGCTAATCTAAACAAATAAGACAGAAATTTACAAGATGCATTAAGAGAGAAATCATTTCAAGTCTGAAAAGATCACGTTTATGTATTTATTAGTAGGGTGGTGTTAAAATCTTATAAAAGAGCTGCTTCTGAGTAAAGACCACCATCTACAGGTTGCCAGCTAGAACTGCAGCTGGTGCTGAATTCCCTATCCGACGAGGATGCTGGTATTCCGTGCTTTGAATCCTTATTCTGAGGGATTCTTACTTGTAGTGGTGGAGGTGCAGGCCCTGGGGTGAACGGTACCCTCCCCCAAATCTTCATCATCTCCCCCAGAGCCTGAAACACTTCATCACACCCTCTTTTGACCAACAAAGACATAGTGAAGTAACCAGCCTGAAACCACTCCGACATCTCCGGATTGTTGAACGGACCTGAGGGAGCAGAGAGAGATGAGTCCGGATAAGAAGAGCTTTTAAGATAAAAGTGAAAATTCTACTGCAAAGGGGGGAAAAAGTGGTGTATTCTCACCCTGTATCTCCCCCTGTGGGTCTTTGTAGAACCACTTGAGAGCGGCTTCGTGGGTTAGAGGCAGACCTGCAGACTTGGGCTTCCCTGAAGTCTTTGCTGAACGTCTGTCGTCATCCACCACACTGTCTTGGAGGTACGCTACCATCTTTTCAGCCTCCTGAGATAAAATTTGAACAATACCAACCATTTAAAACCAGTAAATCAGTCAATTCACCTCCAACTGAGCCAGCATTTACTGCAGCACAGATGTTAAATACTTAAATACTAAAACATACTTGTTCAAAGTGTTTTAGTCCCTCATCTTCATCAGTGTCATGTGGCACAGTGGTGGGCCTGCTTATAGGTGCTATTAAACTCGATGTGAAGGGTGAGTGATTGTTCAATGACACAGAAACCTCTATTGGCTTCTGCTTCGGTAGCTGAACAGTGGACGATGGAACAGATCCTTCTGTGTGAAACAAAACGAGGTTAGGTTAAAAACAAGGAAAAATGTATTAGTGTCACGCGGATGAATGAAGAACAAGCTTCACCTGGTAGGGTGGTGGAAATGTGGGTCATAGGAAGGGAGTCCAACATGCTGGAGGACATGGGGACACGCAAGGGGGCTTTGCAGGACTCTGGTGGGAGCTCCAGGGGGGGCTGCCGTTCAGCCGGCCTCTCAGACTCCTCTGTTCTGTTGGGCTTGATGGGGGACAAACTCTGTGAAGGGGGCAGGGTCTCCGAGACGGCCTGAGCAACAAGTGGAACAACAGCTGGAGCTTCATCTGAACTTCTGGACATCTCTGAAACTGAAAGCGGATCAGTAAGAACTTTTATCTTTTTTATAATTCAGGAACAAGCATGAAATCACGTCTACATAAAACACAGTTCTGCGTTTTTGTAATTGATTTAGAATTACCTTGACTCAGATTTTGATGGCCATGGTTCTGCAGCTAGGGGTGTTCTGATCACATTTATTGCTCCCAATTCAAGTCTGAGTCATTTGACTTTAAGTATCTGCTGATAACAGAGACCTGATCCAACACTTTTCAGCAAAGCATTAAAGTAAGAAGACAGAAGGATTCTCAGATACTCCTGTTTGGGGACGGAGGAGTCAGCCGGAGGAGAAAGAAGCTTCAAACAAAGTCTTATTTCCTGATATTCGGACATCTCGCCTCTGATTGGATAACAGCAACACGACTCCACCACTGACTCAGTTTGCTCTGCAACACCGATATTTTATCTCCACAAATAACACAAGGAGTTCTGTCGTGTGGTGGAGTTGCTAATGCTAACAGTTAGCTTCTGCTAGTCGAGATGTTCTCTGCCGTTTCCTGGACGCAACATCAACAGCCTTCCCGTCACGAGCCAAATGGGTATGAATGTGTGTGTGAATCACTGATTGTGTTGTAAAGCGCCTTGGGGGGCTCTAGAAGGAGCTACGTCAAATACAGGCCAAATGGATGAGTCCGTGAATGTTAACAGACATTGTGTCGTACATCTGCACCGAGAACTTTTCCAGGCTATTTTCACGTGATTGGATCATCTCTCATTTCACCACTTTTACACAAAAACACATTGTTTATGTTTATTACCAGGGTTTCAAAACACATCAAGGCTGTTTTAAAAACAATTATTTCCTTTTTAGCTATTAACATAAACCTAAATGAAAAAATTGATTCTACCCAACAGAGAAAAAAGTATTTATAGCGACTTTCCAACCAACAAAAAAGATGACTAAACTCTACTATGTTGCCTTCATAACAGCTTATTGTTTGTGTTCACTTGGCCTTTACTGACACTCCCTCATTCCTCTCTTGCCCCTTTGGCTCTCTGAGCTACCGGCAATTTTTATTTGCAAGCACAAACTATCAAACAACGCCTGAGCGCAGAGATTATGATGGGATTAAAATTTGTCGTCAGCAGGTTATCTCATCGTTTCAAATAGGCCGTTTTAAACGTTAACATCCAAGCAGCTTTTGAGGTAAAAACACAGAAAATGTGTCACCTTCTTTATGTGATGCAACAACCAGGGTAAAAAACTTGTTTCCCAACTTAAACAGAAACACCATGAAGGTCAAAAAGTGACTCAAATTACTCAGGAGACGCAGCGGTGAATCAGACTAGCTTAGATGATTTTTCATATAGATTATACATTTATTCTGCAACAATTCCTGTTAAAATAAAGTGTGAATGATCAGGAACATGTTTTACTATTAAACTTGTCTATTGTATCTTTTTACTTCCTTGGAATTATTTTGAAAACTGGGTTTAGTTTGAATTTGACCTTTAAATGATCTAATACCAACATATTTATCAATAAGAGAATCAAAAGTCAGATTATCAACACTACTGACCTTTTCTGTCTGCTTCCCTTTTGGCTTCTTTTTCTGATTCTTTGGTTTCCCTGGTCGGGGTATCCAGCTCCTCCAGGCCTTCGTCACACTCCTCCAAGGGTCTGAAGTCGAGCTCTGCTTCTTCTGGAATCGGTTCCTTTGAGGCTTTCTGATTACAAAATGACAATGTGGGGGGGGGGGGGACTATTGTCATAAACTTCTCAGTAATCTTTAAATAATCATTTGAGGAAAGTATCTGATTACCTTATGAGAGAGAAAGGCTCCAGAAGAGTCAAATGTGCCTGCCTCTTCATCTGCATCCTCTAGACACCACTCGGGTAAGCTGTCCCTCTCGTCATCCAAGCTGCCGCTGCCAGACCTCTGCCTTCTGTAGCCGCGCTCGTCTTCTCTTGCATCAAACGGAAAATGTCGACGCTGCTCCGGAAGTTCCCGCCAGCCTGCTGACCGAGGCCCATCTGGGGAAAATGCCACATAAAAGGAAAACTAAAACAAAATCCCACATGTTCACTCCAGACAACGGGAGAAATAACACACATGTAAACACAATCATCTGAATGTTTGTTCTGCATTTTGCATGAATGTAAATCTTGTTGCAGTGCGTTCTGTTCCAGGAAAAGCTGCTGTAATCCAGGCACATAAATCTAAGGCAAAAGCCTCCATTAGATTCCGTTAGCTCAGTTAGCTCTTAGCTTCATCAGCTCAGAGTTTGTTGGGTGTCAACCACCTGCCCCCACCCCCACAGCCTCGATCCTAGCTCCATTATTATATTACCCTGGAGCGATGAGACACGTGATGCAGCCAAGATGGCGGTTGTGGGAACTGCCCACTGGGCTTTAATTCAGCTCTTCATAAAGCTACGAGTGACGGCGGAGGACTGGTCTATCTAACATTTAGTCTTTGGGCTGAACAAAAAAGCACCTTTAGGCCAAACGGGAAGCACGACAAAGACAAGAGATAACACACCCTTTCACTTATCAAAACTTATTATTTCGACAAGATGAATGTATGGGTAATGCTTTTGTCTTTCATTTTTAGCGCCCACCTGGGCTCGGGGGGCACCACCGGTCGTTCTCCCATTGAGAACCCAGCAGGCGCCAGCCCCCCTCATCACCCTCACCGTTCTGATCGTCTCGAGTAGTACGCCAGTTTTCACTCTCTGAACGCGTAAAGTCGTGCTTCCTTGGGAGTCCTGTCCCTCCGTCCTCATATGGGCCTCGAACTGTAAAAACACCACATTAGAACACCAGGTGATGGAGTGGGGGGTGCCGTTAGGATGAGAAACCCCAGGGAATTAACATTTTAACATCTATATGATGTAAATGATGGCATGATTTGGCTAAGAACCCAGAACTTTCAGAGGAATGCTTTTTAACTCACTGTGATTGATCTGAAAATGCCCCGGAGCAACATCAGCTACAACGACAGAGAAGAGCAAACAGGTGAGCTGGCCAACTTGCCCAAAAAAATGTTTGAGTATTGATTTTTTTTTCTGTTTTCACAACAAAATGTGACACCAACCTGGGTCCTTTCGACCTGGCTTTTCAAATCGTCGGTCCCCCCTAATAAATGGGGAAAAAAAAGAAACGTTTAGTCTTGACTAAAAATATATAGAAGAGATATGTGCAATATCAGGAAAAGATCTGGATTTATCACATTTTTTCATTCCAATACCGTTCCTCCCAGCTTTGAGAACGGTGCATTTCCCTTCCTCCGCGACCAAAACCTTCAACGTCATCAAAACTTCTTTGGTAAAACCCTCCGTCTCCTCTTCCCCGCCCTGAAATCAAAAGATGAAATACATCAAATGATAAAATTCAAAAGTTTGGATAAAAGCTGAATCCTGATACTGTACCAGCCTAATCCTTATTTATTTAGAATAAAGAAAGAGCTGAATCATCCTTCGTGAAGGTGCAATGCAACTGAGGGTGACCCACCGAGCCACCATGCATATAAAACGGTGCAAAATATATGAAAGGTGCATAAAAAAATGCACACAGTCTGTTTATAAATGAAATGGAATTTTAAGCTGTTAAAAACAATAGTCGTCTCTTATGGCACACGCCTTCCTCTGGTGCTGATATGGTTTGGAAAAATGTTGACAAAAATTGTTTGTGCTCTACGTTTTGCTGTAACTATTATTCTTAATCAAACATAACAAATAACACAATAGTGTGACTAATTAATTCAGCTAACTATTACAAGCTAAAAAGGGCTTTTCAACTTTATGGTGCATCACGACTTCTAGCAGCTGAGGTTGAAATATGTGAGTAAATGTAGAACCTACAGAACACCAACGTTCCACCCCCATGGCTCTAACGGTGGGAGAAATGCCGGGCTGTTCAAAGGAATCTGAACTATCTGCAGTTGTTGCGAGGCCCTCTGAAGCTGCAGACGTTCCAACAGCTTTAACACGACAATTTAAGAACCAAAACCCACTTCATTCATTCTACAGCCGAGTTTCCTCTTTAAAACAACCAACACGAACCACGGCACAAACGCGCTTTACCACGTCTGATTTCTTACCTCTACCTCTTGAGGTACTTCGGCCTCTTGGTGCCCCGGCTATTGGGCCACCCCCCCGCCCTGTCAGCCGAAGTACAGCTGCACTGTTTACAGACATGGAAAAGTTTCTCTGCAGACACAAACGGAGAGGGGGAAGGGAGAAAAGGGGTAAACACTCGGCTCTATTCTTTGCTTCTACTCTTTATTTGGCATTGCTGGTTTACAAAAAATGTCTTGCAATAAAAACTCAACCGGTCCAACATTAACCAGATATTTACTTGCAGCTATTCTGTAAAGTGTTCCTACCTGTTCTTCCTCTGTAAAAGACACGAGTGCCAGAGGTGGTAAGGGTTCCTCTTGCAGTATGGGTAAGAACTCCTTATCTTGTAGGTCTATAGGGATCTGTAGGAGAGACATCCACATTTTTAAATAAAGCTTTAGCAAAGATTAATGCTCCTGGAGAAAACAGCTTTTGTATTCTGACACACCCACCTTGTTATCCTTTACATAAAGTGCTAACATTTCTTCTCTCCCGTAACGATAGTCTGCAAGTTTATACTTTGGCAATGCAGGCGAGAGAGGCGGAGAGGCAACAGCATTGCTGCCTCCACCAATGCCACCACCGCCACCTCCAGACAGGGCACGGAGCCTGCAGACAACACAAATGAAGTTAGGGTGAAATGAATAGAGAAGCTGGATGGCAGATGGCAAGTCTGAACATGTACCCGAAAGCTAAGCTAGGCTCCAACTGAAAACCTGTCTCAAAATAGAATAATCTTAGTCAAACTAATTGTTCATTCATGCCAATTTAATTACCATTCTGGTCCAAAATTAAGTGTCTGGGTTTCGGCCATTTTTCCTCAAGGTTCTACAAACATGAAAAAGAAAGAGCAGCATTAGTCACATTTTTTCTAGCATTCGTGATTCCTGTGTTGCCTTATTTTTATAAGAAACATTAAAAAAAAATTCTGCGGGTTGAATTTTGTGCGTATGCTACTGATGCATCACTTATAACTTTTGTGCATGTTTGATGTAGAAAGTGTGACAGGCATAGTCATTTCTGAAATAAGGAGATACTTTTTCAAATGTTAGAACAGCTCATGTAACTTCTCACTGAGTGATTAATTTTCCATTGCATAAATCAGCTAAAAACACAAACAAAAATTAAGTTTGTCACTAAGATGAATTAATTCTCTCTCCTTAAAGATGTAAAAGCCTGTCCCACAAGCATACAAATCGTGTACGATTTCAATCTACTAAAGCTATTTTAGGAAGTCTCACAGACTGCAGAGCATGTCAAGCACCTGCAAATGACAACAGAGGTGTTCTTGGATTAAATAGAAATGCTACATCATAAAAAAAATCACTTTAAATCCACCTTTGGATGTTAAATCTTGACAGCAAATCTTTGTCTATGCAGTGAAGCTTCCTCAAATTTCAGACACAAAAAGCTGCAGTGGATTTACAACACCACTGCCCATATGGAAGTCTGGGAGCCACGTGTGTGTTCCTCACTTCGAGCGATTAATGCAACAACTCAAAATGAGCTCAAAACTGCTGCAACTAGGTGTGTTTGGCTCATTTCCTATTGTTTACAGAAAGCAACACCATCGGATGACCGAGTCTGCATAATGACTTGTTCAAAATGCCACGATATGTACAAAACACGGACTAAAACGTCTCCTAGCTTGATGAATAAAATATAACTTTGGATTCAGGGGGAGTGACTTGCAATGTAGCCAGTTTGAAGCAAAGTTGTCCACGCTATTTTCTACTAAAATATTAATCTACGAGTAATAACACAAATATTAAATAACACTCTGAAGGCTTTACTGCTGTTTATAACACGACCTTACAGATGGCAGATATCTATCGTTCGATCGTCAGTCAGAAAGGTGAAACTAAAATCACTTGCCAACACTGCGGTAGCTGAAGTAGAGAGCTAATCCAACAAATAGCAACCAACATAAAACACTTCAGTGAGAAACTTACTAGTAAGAAACTAACAATGTAGTTAAGGTGGGTGGTGGGACCACATTTATAGTTAAAATGCCAATTTAGCTGCACGCTGTTGCAACGCGACACCCAAACGGACTAGCATTTACTAGCAGCAGCGTTTTATTCCAACAGAGCCTGCACATTTAAGTAGGTACACACGTATGTCACACATAAAAATATATACATTTTTTAAATGTAAGTCGAGAGATTCGCGTAGCTAATGTCATGGTAGAATTCGCTGTAAATACTTAATAGTTATATTTTGAGGGATAGCGGATTAGCCAACGGCTACACGAGGCCTTCCGAGCAGCCTGGATCCACAACGACTCAACGCCCGTCGCGCGGCCTAACCCTCACACGGAATCACCCGAGTCCGGTGCTGCGAGGCCGAGCCAACATGGTGGTTTTTAAGAGCACTGCCAACCCCAACCGATCAAGAGAATATGACCGTTTCGTGTGGTTCTTAACTCGAATGTGGGATTTTTCCTGGTTAGTGTATGAAACTTTGGCTGTCTTACCTCTACTTGTTGTGACAGCTCAGAGATAGTATGCGTGTTGCTGAGTGGCTCTCTCTATTCGTTTTCCACAAGATGGCTGAGTGTGGGTCACATGACATCACATATTAACCCGTATGCAGGCACACGATTTGCTGACTACTGGTACAGTGATGATAAAATGTATTTATCAGTTAACACAATTTAGACATAAATATAATAATTACTTACAATGCACATAAAAGGGATTTTACGCTGTCTTTGCGTAATAAAATAGTAAATGTTCAGAGTGCTAATTTTGAAATATTTATTTTTTCCTGCCTGCCCCGAACATCTTTTGCACATAATGTCAGATTTACTTTATTTCTCACTCCCGCAGATTATTTTTATGAGTCTGCTGCTACACTGAAATGCAATAGTTCCGATTCTCATCGCAAAAGAATAAAACATTTCTCCAAACAAATTATCAAGCTTATTTACATCCCAGTTTAACACATTTGATGATCATTTTTAATCATTAATATGACAGGAACAGGTAAATCTTCCCCAACATAAAGGTGTTTTTAGGGCATGTAAAAAATTAGTTATGGTTGTGGACAGGAAGCTCACTACAGAGGAGCTCAATTGTTTACCAGTTTCAGTAAAAAAAAAAAAAAAAAAAAAAAAAAAACAGAAACCAAGTACTTAACTTGGTGGTCAACTTTCAGTACAACGCCCATGAAGTCAAGTCATTTTGATTAGAAAAGTGGCAGCTGGCAGACCGAGAATGAAAAGGTACACGTCTTTGTCTTCGATCAATGACGTACACTAAACTCTCCCAAATCAACACTTTAAAATTAGTTCTAACTTTAAAATACATTTTGAAGAGTTACTACATACCGTATTGATACCAGGCTGTTTTTTTTTTTTTCAGAATGGGCGTGCCTAGGGAATGGCCTGCAGAAGCAATTAGTCCATGACACTCTTGAAATCTTGGCCACTCCCATGCCACCCCGCTGATTGCAATTTAGTATAAAATAGAATATAATAAACATTAATCCCACAGTGGGGAAATTCACTCATTACAGCACATACACATAAATTGACTTTACATTGTCCATAAAAGGCTCACGTTTATAAACCTTAAAACAGGCGGCAGCATGCATTGGCTTATAGCCACAGGCCTACATAATGTTTGAGTATTATTATTTATTATTTTTACATATTGACAAATAGTATTCATGGTCTTGGTCTACACTGCACTCCAGTTGGTGGCGGCGATGCACCAAAAAGTGGCTTACCAACTCTAGAAGAAGAATAAGAAAAGATTCACAGAAAATATTTTGTAAGGGGTGACACGTCTTATTTCAAAACAAAGCTTAACTATAGGTGGTAGCACCCATGCATAAAGAAGTGTCCCACCTGGGCTACCCCATCTTAAAAGGCCTGAACACGCAACTGACTGCAAAGTTTCAAAAACACTTCGCTTTCTCTTGACTGGGCTCAAGATGGCGACCAGTGCGGAGGTGTTGTGAGGAGCTCCGTGACTGTGAGTTGTACCACGTTAACAAAGGCAAATAAACCATATATTACCGGCATTGTTGTTCAAGGAATCGTTTATGCATAAGATAAGAGGAAGAAGAACTTGTTACTGAAAGGATACTCACCTCCACGTCGACTGTTTCTAGCTGGCTAGCTTACAGTCATCTCAGCTCAATCTTTTGAAATGGCAAAAAGAGGACCGAAAAATTCCAAAGAGGAAGCCTCTTTACTGCAACGAGGTATGCAGGACTTTGATGCTGCTTTCACTCCACTACCTGTTACACCCACAAAGAGCCCTGATACAAAAAAAGCAAAATCAGCTAACATCTCACCTGAAGGAACATCTAACGATGACATCTTGAAAGCCGTAATGGAACTATCTGGCCGCTTTGCAGCGCTAGAGCAAAAAATAACTAAAAATACAGAAGTTATCGCTAATGTCTGTGATTAGCTAAAAGCAGTTGAAATGCATGTACAGAAGAACGAAAACATGATTAAAGATGTATCGGAGCAGTTGGTTAAGGAGCAGCAACGAAGTGATGATGCCGAACGATACAGCAGACGATGGAACCTGCGGCTGTATGGCAAGAAAGAAACACCGGGGGAAAACATCAGAGAGGAGATAATGAAGCTCTTCGTTGCGCTTGCACCAGAGGATAAAGAAAAGTTGGATTTCCTTGTTGATACTGTGCACAGGGTTGGTGTAGTCCGGGACAATTCCACTCGACCTGTCATTATTCAGTTCACTATGCGAGCTTTCAGAAACAAGATCTGGAAGGTATCCCGTGACAACAACACACTTAAAGAGAAGAAACTGTTCCTGAAGGAAGATCTGACACAGGCTGACCGGATGGAGCGAAATCGGTTGTGGCCGATAGTGGAGGAAGCTAGGAAGCAAGGAAAGCGTGCTGGCTTTAGAGGCCCTCATGTTTACATAGAAGGGAAAAAAGTTACTCGCTAGATGTTGATTTAAAGCTGTGTGACGATGGATGCTGGTAAAATTATTTTCAGTTAATACTTGAAAAAGGTTTAAAAAATGCGCATAAAGCAAATGGGTACTTGCAGTTAAGGTTAAAGGTTCGTAAGTACTATTCTTTTATTATTTTTCTTTTTTCTTCATCTTTTTTCTTCTCGGTGATTGTTATTGACATCAGCAATTTGTTCAAATATGGCAGGTTTTAGTTTTAAGGCACTAAATGTTTGTTCGCTTAATGTTAGGGGTCTACGGGAAATCACAAAAAGAAAGGCAATTTTCATATTTTGTAGGAACTGCAATGCAGACTTCGTTTTTCTGCAGGAGACTCATTCATGCAAGGTTGATGAAAAGTTTTGGAAGTCACAATGGGGTCTTCCATATTTTTTTCTCATGGCTCAAATCACTCTGCTGGCACGGCAATTCTGTTAAATAGATTTTGTGGTGGCATACTGCAGTCTGTAATGTCAAATGAAGGTCGCTGGCTTATGTTGGCTGTGAAATTGGATAACCAACATTTTATTATTGGAAATGTTTATGGCCCAAATAATTCATCTCATGCAAGAACTGTTTTTCAGGAATTTTCTTTAAAGTTGGATTTTTTGAAAGCAAAATACAATAACCCCATTTTAATTATTGGAGGTGACTTTAATGATGTTTCAGATGATATTGTGGACCGGCTTCCTCCAAGGTTTACATCAATAAGTTTCAAACCTACTGAATTTTTGAGCGCAAATTACCATCTTACAGATGTGTGGAGATATATGAACCCTGACGCTACACAATATACGTGGTCCAATTCTAGCAGGAGTTCCCAGTCACGAATAGATTTATGGTTAATGTCTACACATGCATTAAAATATGTCACAGATGTTTCTCACTCACATGCCCCATTATCTGATCATAAATTAATAAATCTTAGATTAAAAGGAGTTAAAGAACGACCAAGTATTAGGGGCTATTGGAAATTTAACAATGACCTTTTGGAAGATAGAAATTTTAAGGAAAATGTTTCATTTTTGGTTGAGAAAATTTTTAAGGAAAGAGAGATGGATCCAATTCAAAAGTGGGAGTTTTTCAAATATAAGGTTCGGGAAACAGCAATAAAACGATGTAAAGAAATACAGAAACAGAACACAAATAAAATGCAACATTTAATTGTTAAATTAGAGCCCCTAATATCTAAGCAAGACTTGTCTGAAAGTGAATTAAGAGTTCTGTCCAATCTAAAAGATGAACTTGATAAAATGTATGTCAATTTAGCTAAAGGTGCATTCATAAGGTCTAGAGCTAAGTGGTTAAGAGAAAGGAGAGAAAAATTCTAGTTACTTTTTTGCTCTAGAAAAAAGAAACAGGAAAAGAAACAACATTGTGGCTCTTAATATTAATGGTATAATAAACTCAGACCCTGCTATGATCGCCAATTATACTACCTCATTTTACAGTGATTTGTATTCTACAAAATTTAATCAGACTAATTGTGACAGATTCTTAAATCATATTAGGATGTTTACACCTCTGATATCGGAGGCCTTTAAAGACTCATGTGATGCTGAGCTTTTATTTCCAGAAATTACAGATGCTTTGCATTCAATGAAGTTAGGAAAGTCACCTGGTAGCGACGGACTCTCAGTAGAATTCTATCTTTGTTTTTGGGAATTAATTGGTAGTCACCTTTTTCTGATGTTCAAAGAATGTATAAGTAGGCAAGAAATGACAACAACCATGAAACAAGGTCTTATAACTGTGCTCCCTAAGACAGACAAAGATCCTTTAAAAATAGAAAATTGGAGACCTATCTCACTTTTAAATATTGATTACAAAATTTTATCTTTGGTGTATGCGAAAAGACTAAAAAAGGATTTAGGTGAGATAATAAGTGAAAACCAGAACGGATTTCTTCCCAAACGTCACATTAGCTCTAATATTAGACTAGTGTTGGATCTAATCGATTATTCACATTTTATAAACTCAAATGCTTTGATGATTTTCCTCGACTTTTATAAGGCATTTGATTCGATTGAACACACCTTCATTTTACAAACACTTCAAATTTTAGGTTTCGGAGAGTCGTTTATTAGTGTTATTGAAATGCTTTATAAAGATATAAACAGCTCAATAATTTTATATCCACAGATGTCTGGGAGGTTTCCAATATTAAGAGGTGTACGACAGGGCTGCCCAATTTCTTGCTTTTTGTTTCTGATTGCCGCTGAACTTTTGTTTTTAAATATTTCACACAATCCAAATATTCATGGTTTAGAAATTTTTAATAGAGAAGTTAAGATGTCCCAACTGGCTGATGACACAGTCTTGTTTCTTAGAGATAAATCACAGATACCAAATGCTCTACATGCAATACGAGAATTTTCAGAAGCTTCAGGACTGAAGCTAAATGTTGATAAAAGTGAAATTTTATGTTTATATGAGACCAATGACCAATATATGTTCAATATTCCCGTCAAACAAACTGTTAGATATTTAGGAATTCATATAATAAAAGACAAAATGATGAGACAAACATTAAATCTGCAATCAAGGATTAAAAAAACTCATTTGATTCTTAATATGTGGCTGCAAAGGGACCTCTCTATTTTTGGCAGGGTGTTGTTAACAAAAGCGGGAGGCATATCAAGGTTAG